CCTTTCAAATGTGGAAAACTCCAGCAGCCACTTTATGGTACCACAGGGCTCAGCCTCAATGGGCAGGAGCAGTCTCGGACTTCAGGGCAGCCCCACATGCCTCAAGTCCCTGATAATTTTGCCACTTTCATTTTTGGGGGGCTTGATTTTTAATAAACAACTCCCAAAGCAGTGCTTCTCATCTTCTTTTCCTCACCAAAATCAGACTCTTGCATTGAAATGTGTGAAGCTGCTTTTTTTCCCCCTTCCTTTTTCCCCAGGTTTTACAGCATGAAAGTGGATGTTGATGTGAATGGAATTTTGAAATTGGAGACGGGGAAGTTCTGCTCTGGGAGGTTGACTATTTGCTCACAAAATCACCCTTTTTCAAGCTCCACGATGAAACTCTGCACAATTATTTCTGTCTCCTCCTCGCCCAGCCAGCCTGGTGCCCTGTGTTGCTCCAGCTTTTGTTTCTCCTTTGCTCCCCGGTGAGGATGAACAAAACACCAACCACCACGACTTGCTGTGCCCATGACATGCCCACTTCTCCTCCTCCTCCTCCTCCTGTGGCTGCCACCACAGCCCCTGTCTGGCACTGCCAGTGTTAGAGCACAGGCTCAGCAGCATTTTGGGCTGCACACCTCAAACTGGAACCAGTTCCTGCTCCACCATTTGCAAAGGGGGTGACAGAGTGCTCAGGATTCAGGGATACTTCAAGGAACTCCCCCTCAGCAGGGAGCCAGGGCTGGTCGGATGCACAGCTCAGGGAAGGGCATTTCAGAAACTCACAATTCCATCTGCTTTGGTGATGGAGAGCAAACACCAGCCCAAAACATGTGCCAAGGGACAGGCTTCACCCTCACCAGCACTAGGGAAAGTTCTGCAGACAGCTTCCAGCAGGACTCAGGCAGGGATGTAGGATGACCCAGTGCAGGGACAAAGCAGCCCTTGGGGTGACTGGAGGACCCTAGGGCCAAAAGACAACTCCCCACACACAGGCTCTGTGGCTGCTCTGCTCCATCACCCCCCTCCACCCCAGCAAAGGCCACGCTTGTGGTCCCCACAGTACCACAAACATCCCGGCTCTTCCCCTCCCATATGAACCAGAAGGCAAGGACACAGCTAAAAAGCCCCAGAAGCCAGGACAGGGACATCCCAGGCTCTGTGGGGTGCCCTGGGCTCGGTCCTCCAGCTTAGCCATGTGAGATAAGGAGAGGATTGAGCCTTCAGTTTGTCCTTCTGGAGTTACCCCTGGATTAACTCAGCCTAATGTTGTTTCAGGAGCATTTACATGCAGAGCTCCTTCAGTCTGGCTCTCCGGTGCCTGCCGGGTCAGGCAACACCTCTGGCTTCTACCTTGGCTCGGGATCTGTTGACTCTGGAAAACCCCCAGGGTTTGGAGCACATCTCTTCAAACAAGCAGCTCTGTGGTCATCCAGGCTCTTCCCCTTCTGCCCCTGGACCACGGAGGCCACGTGCTCTGGTCCAGTGTGAGAGACAGGGGAGCCAAGTGCCAGCTGGGGTGGATCAGCAATTCCCACATGGTGCTCTGGACAGGGTGTGATCTCTGCAGCCTCACTGCTCCTTTCTTTGTCCCACAGTCCTCCCAACACCAATGAGCAGAGACTGGAGCATCCCAGATGCATGTTTGGGACAGGTAGGATGAGAGGTGCAACCACAGGCTGGCAGCTCCCACAGAACCAGAGAACATGGAAACGTTGCAAGATGAAGGAAGCCTGGTCCCTCCACCCCCAGTTCCAAATTTACCTTGGTTTTGGTACCTCAGGTTGCAGTAAACAGGACCACACCCCCAGGCTGGGCTGAGGGAGCACACGAGCTGCTGAGAGGGGTGGGGTGCTGCAGCTGGGCAGTGCAACGTGCAGAGAAGTCAAACCCTGCCCCAGCTCCCTGGATTTCATGTTACTGATGAATTTATGTCACCTCATGCCCAGATTTACTGGGTTTAGACAGCAGGACGGTGCTCTTATTCTTGGTGTCCAGGTGGGAAAGGGAGGCAGTGTCCCCACTCTCCCAAATCCATCCCAACCAGTGGGCAGCTCTCTCACGTATATGCAATTTATGTTTGACTCTCTCCCCAGGGGCTCATCTCCCATCTTCCCCCCTTTCATTATAAAAATTAGTAGGTTTGAGGTATATTTGAGGGTTTTTCTTTTCCTGTGTTCACAAAGTGCAACACTTGATGACTCTAACCCCAAATTCTCTGTGACACAGATACCCTGGCAATTATAAAATACTTCCAAGCTCGCTCCATAAACCCCTTTGCTGTTGCTATTAGTATGCATTAACATTTTATTGGTGTTACAGGATGAAACATCCAGTCTTGCAGCTCCAGTGGGCTTGGGGATTTCCAGCATCCTGCAATATGTATCCGTGCAGAGGAAATTAAAATGTGGATGGATCAGCAAGATACAGTCAAATCCTCTACAGTAATTTGGAGAAGACTAAACTCTGGTGCTAGTGGAGCATATTCCAAGCTATCTAATAGAGAGCTGATGATCTCTGTAACAGCCTTTTTGTAAGTTTTATTCTTGCCTACAAGGGAATTTTTTCAAAGAGGATATGTAATACCTAAACTAATATTTTTAAAGGTATATGCTCCAAACATGGAAAAGTAAGACCCTTTGCAAAGCAGTCACTTCAGGTGATCAGCAAGTATCCAGGAAAAGAATATGCTCTGTTATCTTACAATCTAGCTGGAATTTCTCTCTAAACACCACAGCAGTCAATTTTCTATAGTTTGGACCCATTACAGGACACATAGACTCAGGAATATTGCTATGCTTTGCTCTTTTAGCAACAGTAAAACAGTTTTCCTTTAGCAGCATCAGCACTTGAAACCCAAAGCATCGTGTCTACATGACGGCTAAAGAAGTGTGGTGGTGGTGAATGTCATCAGCTCTGCACACCTCAAGTGGTCACAGCCACACAGCTACTCACCAGGCTGGGCTCCAGCATCACAGGCATCACCATCTCAAAAAAACCCACCTGTTTCCACAAGTAAAACTGGGAGGAATTCATGTCCAAATGGATAATTTCAGTACCTCGACCTGTGCAGTGCAGGCTGCTTGGGTTTCTCTCTCTCAGGTGTCTTAAAAATAGAAGAACCCATAAAGAACTGCTCCTCTGCTTTCTCTACTTCCTCCATTTACAGGGTCAGCAAATCCTTGAGCACATCCTTAATCTACTTTATAAAAGGAAGCAGAATGTGCTCAGGACTCACACACACACACCTTGGTGCCCGCTGGGTCGGGGCCTCGCAGCACCTCTCCTGCAGGACCCCAATCCTGGGATTTTTTGTTTCCATGGGTGTGCACACACTGAGCATTAAGGAGCCCGAATTCTGATGTGGGATTTCGATGTTATTTATTATCCGTGTTACAGTTGCAACCGGGAACACGGGGAGTGACTCGTTCCAATTTTAGCGACAACTGTATTTACGCCCTGCGTTGAGCCGGCCGATGGAGACATTCCCAAGCCCAGGCTTTTTATAGCAAGCAGAAGCACCCACTCCACCCCCTGGAAGGCCTTTTCTAACCTCTCAAACCTGCTCGCAGCCCTGTGCTCTCCAGAACAAGTGCATCTCCAAGCTGAGGATGCCCATCACTGTTCCACCCTCGCTGAATCCGATGTCAAGGCCCTTTTTCAATTTGGCTCATCCTAGTTTGAAGTTTGGCACAATTTTACAAGACCTGTCTGTCCCCAGGACGTTCAAAGAGTTTCTCCAATGTCAATGGGAAGAGTGCTCATCCACTGCAGGGGAAACAACGCTAAAGGATGAAGATCTCTCCTCTTGGCTATTAGAGCATGAAACAACCTTCAAAAGCCCTGTAAACTCTACAGCTGAGCCAGGAGAGTCCTCGGTGGAGCAGCGACGAGATCCCTGCGAGCTTCTCAAATGTTCAAGTTTCCCACTGGCAGGTTGGCAGTGAGAGAGTCCAGGTTACATTAGCAATGATTGTTAACCACCCATTTCACCTTCTCCTACTCATTTCTGCCTCCTTCCCTCTCTCAGGAAGGAATGCAGTTGCAGGGATAGGGTGAAGACTCCAGGGCTCTTGCGTGGTTCAGCTCCAGGTCCTTGGGGTACAAAGTGCACCTTCATGCTGGCAAGTGCCAGCTCAGACTGTGCTGGTCCTGCACTGGGGGCTGCGTTGTTTATTCACCAGCAGGATCTCAGCACTGCGTGAGGGGAGAAGTTAATGCAGCAACAATGGCATCAAGCAGTTTTTATTCTGTTACTCCCAACCCCGCATGAGGCTCCTTCTCTCAACTCTTACTTCATTTATAAGTGGCTGCCATGAGCGATCGCATAAGGGAGGGTTGTGCAGAATGAGAGAGGGGAAGGCTGACGGCGATTTGCAAACCTGCCCTGTGCAAAGGCAACACCTGTTAAACAGAAACACAAACTGCCCTACGTGTGGCAACCCCAGCTCTGAAAACTGAATTTAAAAAAACTGGCTTGGCCAGTGGGCTGAGGGGGAAGGTGGCCAGAAACCCACACTACGTCTGCTTCCCCTTCACTGCACGTCATGTTCACTAAGGGACGTGCTCAAGACGAATTCAAGCGCCTTCAAAGAAAACATTTGTGATCCAAGATGACATTTCTGCTCACCATCCATCCCTCCACGCTACTGCCGCTTTTAGCAACATGCAGCTGGCCCATGTTGATGGAGACAATGTAACCCAGAGACAAGGAAACAAGCCTTTGCTCAGCACAGCTACCCTACCTCCAACCACTCGTGAGAAGGTCCAGGTTTAATTTAATCCAGGTATAATATAAATCCAACAAAGCTGCTGAACTAAACTGATGCTGGAAGTCCTGAGTCAGCTCCTACAGCAGGACACGAAAAACATCTGAAGAAAAAGGTTCCAGTTCTCACCCTGCCTCAGAAACAAGGCTCAAACATCCTTTGGTCATGAGAGTCTCTGATCTTCAAGAAGTATTTGCTGGCCTGGGATCAGGATTCACACATCACCTACCTGCCAAATCCCAGCCGGGAGGGGGGTGGGCACAGCAAAAAAGTTAATAAATAAAAACATACAACACAACAGAGAGACACCCAGGAAGGACACAAAGACTGGATGCACTTGATCATGCAGTAAATAACGAGTCCATTTTGGTGCAAGCAAAAGATCAACCACCAACACAGCAAGTGCCTCTTCCTTGTGCCGAGGGCTCCGGCCTTCGGCTTCACTGGCTCTACTCCCAAAGTGGGAGCAAACCCCAGTCTGAGAGAGACCAACACAGTCACTGGTGCAAAACACAGAGACTTTAATTCAAACTACAGTGCGGGAGGAGGTGGGAAGTGCTGCTTTGGACACGGAGCAGCCCTGGGTGGTGCCACACGTGTGGATGTGCCAGGAGAGGAGCGGAGCCCCGAGAAGCCGTGACGGGCGCTGTGGGAGTCAGAGGGAGGCAAGCAGGTGGCTGCCACGTGACAGGGGCACATCCCAAGCGGGCTGATAAGACTCAAATAAGAGTTAGCTGCTTGAAGTCCCAAAATACCCAGCAGGACTAATGTGCAGACTCAGGCAAGCAACAAACACAGCTCTGCACGAGCCTCCTCCCACCTCCTCCGCAGGTCCCAAGCCCAGGGACAGCATCCCCAGGGAGCAGTGGCTGCAGCTGCAGGAGAAGGAAGCATCTCTCCACCATTCTTTGGTGCTGTATTCCACATTCTGGATGTCCCTCCCATGCACGGATGTCAACATTTCCACCCATCCTTTTGCATGGAAGCCCCATTTCCACGAGATGACCAGGAGAGATGCATTCCCGACCCTTGGGCAGACTTGGGAGACCAGAGGCTTTTGTTCAGCCATTGCTGGCCAGATGCTGCACAGCCACACAGCCATTTAAAGCATGGGGACACTTGCCAAAAGCCACACAGCAATGTGAGGGGACACGGGTGGAGACACTGAGGGTCTCCATGCCAGGCACAGGCTGCTCTGCTGGAGATGGACTCATCAAGCCCCAGCAAGCACAGGGGTCTCCACCATCATTCCAGGAGTGGATCCATTTGGAAAGCCAAGACAAAACACATCTCATTCAGAAGTAAAATAGACTTAATCCCAGTCTTCCATTTTCATTTAAAATACAAGTTTATAAGTTGTTTCAGGCAGGTCAAAAGCCCTTTGTCCCCCACCCCCTGCCAGGGCCAAGCCAGGAGCAGTCAGGACAGCAGCAGTGCCAGAAAGCTCTACTTCAGCTCTGTGGACACTTCACTGCCTCCTAATTTAGACTCTTTTCTTGCTCTCCCTCCCCTGAGCGCCTGTGAGAACCTTTACGAGAGGGAGTGAGTAGGTTCTGGTAAAAATAATGAAAAAATAAAAATAAAATAATAATTAAAAAAAAATCACAAGCAGGTTTCTCTCCCCCTCCCCAGCAGTAAAGCAGCAGCAAAAGCTGAGCAGTCTGGCACTGAGCAGCCCCACTGCCCCCTCCATGATCTGCAGGAGTGCCAGAGGAAGGATCCCTGCTGCTCCTGATCCTCAGCAAACACCAGACCAGAGCCCTGTCGCCCCACACCCAGCCCAGAAAGCCCAAGAAGAAGCATCTCCTCTCCAGCTGCAAAGCTGTGGACCACCTTGGTCAAGACCTGTGGATACAACAGCTCATCTCAAACACAGCACCAGCCATTTCTCCCCTCCAGTGATGCTGCTGGTGTGATCCAGACCACCTGCCTTCAAGATGCTGCTGGAAGTGGAAAGTGTACTGGAAGTCTGGTCCCTCTGCCTGAGGTCCAGCACAGCAACACCAGCAGGGAATGACAAAGGAAAAGAGCTTTCTCCAGGTATAACCTGCTGCCCTGGGCTATTTTGCTTTTTGTTTCCAGCATGGGGATATAAATGCATGTAAAGCCACATGCTGCCCTCTCATGCTGCCTGTGCTCCAAGGATGTCTCCCTCAAAGAGCTGGGATCATGCTGCTCCATGGGGAAATCCCTTTGCTATGGGGCTGTCACTACAATTTATGACCAAGCAGGAGCAAACACGGTCACCTTGTGCCACTGAGGCCAGCCCAGCCCTGGGGCAGCAAAGCATGGGGAGTGCAGAGGGCAGGTTGGACCCAGCCGTGGATGTGTGTGAACGTGTCAGGGTTTGTACCCGTTAAGAGGGAGCCTGAGCAGTGTCTTTGCATAGCTGTTCCCACAGAGCCAGGTCCCTCCAGGGACCTTGTCTCTGGCTCCAGAGCCACAGCCCAGAAGGTTCCCAGCTTCACCTAAGAGAAGAGGTGCTAGTGGGAAAGAAAGGGAATCTTGCAGAAGAGACAGAGGGAGGGGGCTTTCCTTACCCAGAAAAGGGAGAGATGGCACCCTGGGCTTCCAACAACACACAGACATTCCCTACAACCCCCTTCACCCATTCCAGACCTCCTGAGCAGGGAGAGCTGGCTGCCTACAGACACGCACAGGCTCACACCTCGCCCCGTGTGGTGGTTTCCCAAAGCAAACAGCAACAGGAAACTCCAATGAAATTCAAAAGGGAAATCGCAGTTACCACCGCCCAACACACCCACACGTGCCTTCCTCCCCTCCACACCCCTTCCTCCTGGGAAGGGAAGCAGAGGGCCTTTGCTGCAAAGCAGCCCCTACCCAAACCCGTTCCCATGCCTGGAGCCGCACACGGCAGCTGTGGATAAACACGGCCCTGGCCTGGCCGCGGGCGGGACATCTCCGTGGTGAGGACGTGCAGGGGGAGCTGCTCCAGGTCCATCCTGTCTCCCGTGCGAGGCCAGCGAGTGCTTTGGATCTGTGGTTGCCGATGAGGATGTGCAGGAATGGATGGGCAGGGCGATGAGGAGGGGGTGAGGGGAGGAGGAAGAGCGCCGCACTGTGCCTCCGCTGCTCCGGCTCCTCCCGCGGCTTCCTTAGGATGTCACAGGCTGGATGGGGAGCAGGCTGCCGAACTTAAAGTGCTGGATCACAGGAAACTTCTCCAGGCACTGCAGGAGGGGAGATAAAGAGAGGTGAATTCAGGAGACATTTCCACCTTACACAGGCAGCCAGAGCTACATCCTGCCTGCAGGGTCAGGAGGCAGTGAGCTCAGGGCAGCTCAGCCGAAGGCAGAGGGATTAGTTCCATGTCTCCCCCCACATTCCTATCAGGCTCCTCAGGCCAGTAACACTTCATAACCCCATCCCCTTCCCTTCAGCCTTTTGCTTACTGACATTCAGGCCTGGAGCATGAGCAGAAGCAGCATGTCTATGTCAGCAGCTTTCTCTCTCACCACTCTCCTTGCTCGAGCTGATCTCTTTGAAGAGCTTCACCCTACAAACACTGAGAACTGCAGAACCCTCCAGGGAAGAGACTTTCCCTCCCCAGGCCAGTGCTCACACTCCAGGTTTTAGGCACCATCCTGCAGCCGCAAGGCACTGCCCAAACCGCATTCCAGACTCTCAGGTCTTTGATGGACAAGAACCAGTGATTTTGCTGCCATAGTTTAAGACATAATCCTATTCTCAACAACCCCTCACTCCTGAAATTCCCACCCACCACTGAAGAGTAATGGATCAGAGATCAGTTATATACATCCACTACAAGGCAGCTTAGCTTGGAGCTGCTTCTTCCTCTGTGCAGGGTGAGTCAGGCTGTGAAGGCACAGGCCCTTCCACTCCCCATCCCAATGGCAGGAAGGTCAGGACTGTGAGTCTGCCAGTGCTTGCCTACCAGAGCCACTCAGAACTCTGAGTTTTGAGTCACTGCAGACTCAGAGTGCCCAAAGCTCAGCAAGGGCACAGGGCAGACTCACCTCCATCACACAGAGCTCAGCAGTGCGTGTTTGCCAGCCCCGCAGCTGTGCCTGCACTGGCGTCACCCACCTTTGTTGTGCTGAACAGGGGCCACAGACACCCCCCTGCACTGCAATGGGGACTCATTACCAGGGCTGGTGAGGTGGTGGCCACCTCTTTGCTACAGGCAGAGGGGCAAGTGCTTCCCTCCCTAGACAGCATGATATGAAGAGGAGAAGAGAACCCCAAATTCGCAGTGTCTGGGAAAAGAGGCTTTTCCCTGCACCCAGCTGAGAACAGATCTGCTGATGGGACTCTCATTCCACAGGAGACATGGAGTATGTACAACCAAAGCCCAGCAGATACCAGCTAAGAGGAATCCATCTAGTCCCAGCAATTCCTTGGCACAGAGAGCCAGGTGGGCAGGATGCTGCCCAGCTCCCCACAGGCTGCAGACACAGCAGCAGGAGGGTGTCATGGCCACACTGGCCCCTGCCTACAGTCAGTGGCCTCCCAGGCAGATCTTTGGGACAAAATGCACAACTCTTTCCTCCAGGCACTTTTTAGAAGGACAGTTCCTTCCTACCAAAGGGAGCCATGGTGTAGTTACAACTGTCCATAGGAAGGAGCCTTGTGCTCTCCATGGGGACAAGCTGGACTCGCTGCAGCAGGGGATACCCCAGCTCTGGGGCTGGCGAGGAGGAGTGTGCTGCAGACAGCTCTTCCTCCAAGGCAGGACTCAGGCACAGGTACCCAGCCCACAGGCAAGCAGGAGGATTTGTGCTCAGACACCTAGGCCTACAGTAATCCCTTCAGAGCCAGAGGTCAGACAATTGGTTCCAAGCACAAGCACACTGGATCCAAAACAAGTTTGGAAGTAGTGAAGGTACAGCATGGCTGCATCCACTCCTGGGGAATAATAGCCAGGCAGAAAACCACAAACCTCCATGGCAAGGCACCAAGGAGAAATAAGTCCTGTGACCATCAGGGCACGTCACCTTCAAAGCTTCCTAATGCTCAGAGATGCTGCCATCTCTCCACACAACCACTTAGACAAATCCTCAGAGGAAGCAGCACTGGATAACAGTGACGTGAGGGAAGAGCAGAGAGAAATGAACACCGGAGATGCTGACAGCTAGAAATGTCAGCCCAATTAGATCCAAGGAATCCCATGGAAGACCAGACTGGTTTGGGCTCCAGATGAAGAGACTTAACTACCAGTGGGAAGAAGGGGTATCCATTCCACTTAACACATCACCAGCCCAAGAAGAGAGGAGCAAAGAAACTTTTCCTTCTGTATCCAGCAGAACTAACACAAATTTACTGGATTATTAGAGGTACCAAGAGACAGGACCCTCCTTGCATCACATGTGAGTGAAACTGATGTACCCAACACTAGCTCAGTGGAGGGGACAAGCTTATTTCTTCTTGCCATCATCTTGATCATGCTGAAGGTCTGCTTGGGACTCAACTGAGGAGCAGATTCACACACCAAGTCCAACCTTTAAAGATGGAACTGGGACTAGATTAGTTACAATGGAAAGTATTTCCCGACTGACTGCAGAGAAGGAAAGGTCAGGAGACTCAAAAGCAGGCTCAGGGGAAAAACATCAAGGCTGCTGCTTTAACCACACTCTTTTCTGTCGACTTCTTCACTTGCCTTTGATGGAGAGAATAAGAAAAGCCCTTGGACTTCCAAGAGAACACATCTTCACCCATTATATTATAAATAGACACATTTGGGATTTCATAAACACACAGAGCTGAAGATATGTTGTCTTCAGTCTACTGCCCATGCACCCTGGAGTGCCTGGATCCAGACCAGAGCTCCCAGCCACATGGACACACCTGAGCTTTCTGTCACTGGTTGAAGTCATTCCACAGAGGAGACAGAGGAGAGACAAAGCTTTTTAAATGAACCAAGTCTGGGGCTGCCCCACTCCCACCAAGTGAGAGGAGGTTGTGAGTGAGCATTTGATTTTTCCTGCTCTGCTTCCAGCCAGTGACCCCTTGGCTGTGCTGTGCCTCCACTCAAACCCTGTCACGGTCAGCACCGTCCAGCACCCGGCGCTTCCCAGCCAGCCCAGACGTGTTACAGAGCTGGAGCCTCCACCTGAGTGTCTGATTTCACCTGATCTCATTACAACAGGGCATCAGAGGGGCAGGGAGAAGGGAGGGGAAAATAAATAAAAGGACATTTTTGCCAGTCAGACAAAGCAACACCGCAACCCCAAACCTTCCTTCTCTTTGCCATCACACACTCCAGGCTCTGCTACAGAAGCTGCCTGCCTTGAGCTGGACTAAGATTCATGTCAGCACTCAGGGGCTATTGCTGACTTCCCTTCTGCTAATGCTGGCAGTGGCTAATTGGAGAAAGACTGTACTGGTGAAGGCTACAGAGCTGGGCACAGTGAGCAGAAATGCACTGGGAGCCAGCAGCAAATAGACCAGACCTCCAGTAGTGACTGAGTGCCCAGCCTGAAACACCCAAAGGATGAAGGTTCAGTGACTCCTGAACCTTGTGTGTGTGATTCCCAGAAAATCAGCCAAAGGGATCCTCCAGCTGTAAATGCTGGTGTAACCTGCATGGCCAGGCACACCATAACTGAAAGCCCTGCCCAGCCATGCTGCCATGTCCACATCCACATCCACACTCCTCTCAGCTAAGCCAGGCAGGAACTGGCTGAGCCAGCAGTGGGGTGGGAGACTCCCCAGAGCAGATTATATGTAAAGATATATTATATCTATATATAAAGAACCAGTGAGGACCCCTCACAGCAGGGTCTCCCCTCTCCTCTGCCCATCCAGGTGAACACAGGCACCACGCAGTGCCAGGAGAAGACACTGCTGCACAAGAATCATGTGTTCTTAGGACTGGTCAAATATTCCTTGAGGAAAAAAATAAATTTAAAGCTCTTTGGTTGACTCAATGTTTTTTACACCTTAGCCTAAATTTGTGTCATTACCCTTCCTGGCAGTTTTTGCATTCTCTCCTTGACACAGCCACATCTGGAGATATTTCTAGAAACCCACCACTACTGGATCCAGCATTTTCATGCAGAATGTCACCTGCTACTCAAAACAGATCAAGGCCTCCAGAAAAGGCCACGCCTTGGGTGCACTTAGAAGAGCCAAAGTATCTCCCAGTCTTCAGAGGATCCCCAGGCTGTGCTGTCCCCAGCCAGGGCACAGGTAGATAGATATGCCAGCACAGAGTGGCCCCAAGACATCAGTAGACATGAACATTGCACCGTGGGCACACCACTGCTAAGTTCCTCCAGTCATGTACAGGTGGCAGCCACCACATGGCAAAGGGCATGTGGGGCACCAGGTAGGAGCACCTGAACATCCTGGGGCATGTGGGATGCCAGGGGAGTATCCAGAGAGCTGTGCAAAGGAATTGATCCAAAGGAAAGGAAGGACCATGGCAGGGCTGCCGAGGCAGGAGCAAACCACACTGATGCTCTAGGATTTAGGGGACTCATGTTTCACTTTAACAGCACTCACAGGGTCTTCCCTTCAGACCCCCCAGCTCTCACAACAGAGCCTCCAGCTCAGGGTTTCCCAGCAGGCAGTGTCTCCAGCCCTTGTGAGGGAGCTGTGAACAGGGGCAGCCTCAGAGGGGCAGCCCGGGGGCACCTCCCCCTCTGAGGAGCAGCCCGGGGCAGCCCTCCAAGGAGCAGCCAGCCAAGGGGGTCGACCCCCAGCTCCGCTTCTCCTCTTTGGAGGCTGGGAGGAAAGCTGAGCTGGGGGCGGAAGGAGCCAGCGGGCCTGGGAGTGACACCTCACAGATTAGAGAGGTATGTGGCCTGGAACCTAAACACAGGATGTGCAGTGCAGAGGAAGGGCTGGGGGAGGGAGCGGCAGTTCGGCACAGTTTAACCCCTTTGTGCGCTGGGCCTGAGCAGAGCTGTCCCTGAGCCTCAGCCCCGTGTCCCAGCAACAGGAGCAGAGATCTGTCACCAGCACAGACCACAAGGGGTGGGATTAACTCATTCAGGCACCACTGGGTGCACCAGGGAGTTGCACCATCTCTGCTCCTTCAGCGCCCTTGGCACAGCCAGTGTGTCCTGCAGAGCCAGCACTGTCCCATCCTGCCCAGCAAGAGATGTTCCCTCCGGAGGCCCAGATGTGGTGGTTCCTGTCCTGCTTCCTCGAGCTCAGGGTTAGCTCGAGCAGGAAGGATAGATAAGGGAGAGCCAAAACTGCCTGGTTCCCCAGGTCAGGGGTTCACCAGGAAAGTCTAGGGCAGTGCCAGCAGTGCTGGTGGGCAGAGGGCTGCCAAACCAGGGAGGTGGCTGTGGCCACGGACAGGACACGTAGCAAGGGGAGATCAGTAGCAAGCATTCAGCCTGCTCTGGGGCCCTTAAAACACGGGATGATAATTTTAACTAAGTCTCTTCCAGCTGGTAAAATAGTGGGGGGACCAGACAGATAAGGAGGTCAAGACATCAGCCCTAATTTGTAGGCCTGAAACCTGCACTATGGGAAGACAAGAAATGGCAAAAGTCATGTCTGCAAGGAATGGCCATTTTGGGATTAGTTTTGGGGCAAACACTAGGCAGGCAGGAGCTTCCTTCTAGCCAGCAGCACCTGAACTGTCCAAGGGCTCAGTGAGCAAGGGGCAGTCAATGACTGTGACAGGGTCCCTACACCAAGGAGCAGAACAAGAGCTGACCCACAGTGCCGTGGAGGGGAGGAGGCCCATCAGCCTCTCCCTGCTCACAGTGCTCACCTCTGCCTTGTACATGCGGATGAGGCCCTGGTTGACCTTGGACCAGGAGGGCACGGCGCTGATGTTCCAGAGCTGGTTGGAGTGCTCGGCAAAGGGGCCCGTCTTCATCTGAAAGAGACCCGAGCGCAGGGCTGAGGGAGCCGGGCCAGCCAGGAAGCTCGTGCACCAGCAGTGACTCACGCTCACACTCTCTCCAAGCAAACATTCCCACCAAGCCCTGTGACCCACGCACCAGCCACCTCACTGCCACTTCCCTCCCTCCCTCCCTCCGCGCTCCCTCCCGCTGCGGCCACATCACATGAAGCCGTGGCAATCCAGTTCCCCTCCTTTCCTGATAAAATTAAGCCTTTTCCTGCCACGCTTTCCTAATCAGAGGTCCCCCTGCACACCTCCCTTTTAATGACTGCATTAAAAAAGCCCCACATAAGTCCCGTTCTCCCCTCCAGTAGAGCTTGGCTCAACGCTGTTCCTATTCTACCCAGAAACCTCCCAGTGCAGCTCTGCTGGGCTTTCCAAGAAAATGACTCATTCCCCATTCAGATCAACAACAAGCAGCAGTGACAACCGCGCTGCCTTCCCTGAATACAGAGGGCAGTGCAGGTTGGCAGCAGCTCTGTGTCCACAGCCCACTCCACACCTGCCTCCAGCTAAGGAGGGCTCTGGGGAAGGCAGGAGCAGAGGGGACACACTCCAGTCCCGCTCTCCAAACCAGCTCCAGAGCTGCGAGCTGCTGCCTTGCAGCAAATGCTTTACATATTTCTATTTTTATTTTTTTTCATACTCCAGTGTTTCTCCTCCCAGGGTGAGCAGTTTGGAGAAGAGAGGGCAGGGAGTGAAGCTGCAATCAGGGACAGTTGCATGTAGATTCCCTGGGTAGTTGTCTCCCCTTCTTCTCCATGAACAAAAACAGACCCTCGGGGAGAAAAAGAAATACAACACAGCCACTCTGACTGAGCGAAGTTCCCATGACATCAGAAACCACAAGGCCGAAGCTCACGCTAAAAAGGAGCGTGGGGAGAGAGGAATCTCTTGGACTCTCGTTCACGACTTGGGGTTTGAACAACTAACCCCTTCCCTCCATGCACGCACAGGCCGGGAGAGAGGGTGGGAAAAGAGCCTCCAAAAGAACGTCTCTGTAAAAGCAAGCAGAGCCAATCAATCTGCTCTGGGAAATTTCTGCAATGCCTGTGTGGCACCAGCCTGAGGCAGAGAAAGAAAGAGAGGGAAAGGGTGGGGGGATCCAAAAAAACCCCCCACTTCTTATGACATGTTTCACACCCGCTGACCTTGGGGTGGGAGCAGCGGGGGAAGCGGGTCTGTAGCTCTGCCCAGTGCTGGGAGGGCGTGGATGCACCTCCGCTTCCCCTCGGTGGTTCCCAGGAGCCGGGGGATGATGGATGAGCCGCTTGGCCATTCCTGCTCCCCTACACCACACGCTTTCCTCGGGGGTACAGGATGAAACGTGTAAGCACACAAAGCACGGCGCTCACCGACAGCGCCGGCGCGTTATCCAGCGCCGAGGTTCGGCACCAGCAGGCACCCAAAGCCAGGGAGCTCTGTGCCAGGCGGCTCCCTCAAAGAACCTCCTCCCCGCACAGGAGCTTTGGCTGCATGAATTTTGATGCCAAACCTTCTCCTGGCATCACCACCCTTCAGAGGGGCACAGTTTGCACCAGCCACCACCACCAGGCTTTGCTTCTCTCCCTTCCCAAGCTGGAGTGAGCGTGACAGAGTGTGGAGGAGGCGGGCAGGGCTGGCACGGCCACCACTGTGGCCCTCCTCACCCAGGGCACCTGGAGAGGGATGGCTTTGCTATGGCTTCACACTGGGGAGGGAAAAATAAGAGGGTTGAGAGGGGGAACAAAAAAAATCCATCTCCTTCCAGCCACAAAGGGCGAAGAGGGAGAGCTGGGGGGGAGAGCGAGAGGCAGCGAGAGCGCTGCAGTCCCGCAGTGACCCCAGGGGAACAGAGTGAGTCAGAGCAGCCATATTGAGCAGGAAATTACTCACAGACGCGGCGTTCCTGCCTCTCGGTTCCCAAGAGAATCGGCCTTTTGTAAATGGTTCCTCTGTCAGTGCAGGGGGGAGGGGGACGGCTGAGGCCGTGCTTTCCTGTCAGCTCCTTCCCTTCCAGCAGAAACCCGAGCCCTCCCTTCCCAAACCTCCAAATTTAGAAGCCAGATTGAAGCTGAAATTCCTGCTGCCTGCCCTGAGCTCTCGGAGGAGCATCTGGGGCGAGTGCACTGAACGCCCACAACAGCTGGGGGGCACCCAGCACCCCTCATCTGCACACACACAGGCAGCCCTGCATCGCTGCCCTCCACAGCCCCTGGGCAGAGATGCTCCAAATGCGCCTCATCCTCACACCTGCAGGTGCCACATACACCCCACAGCACACTTTGACAGGCAAAGGCAGCAGCAGGGGAACAGCTTGAGTCCCAGCCAGCTCTGCAAACCTCACCCTGTTCCAGAACCACGTGTTCAGGTCCAAACCCACCCCACAGATTTCCCAACATCAGGCCAGCTCATGCAAGGCTCACTGCCTGAGCGCAGCTGTGGGGAGGATGCCGTGGTGGGATCAGCCTGGACATCATCTTGCTGCTGCTTTAAGAGCCTGAGGTTTAAATACACACGTGGCAAACACCACAACAGGGGCTGAGAACAATATCTGCTCAAGAGAATATTCTCTCAGTTGACAGAAAACAACCTACCTCGGTTGTAGCCTGCTGAAACAAAACCTGCTCTCATGTCAGCAAGACATACCAGACCTACTACAGGAACTGCTGTGGTGTTTGCTATGTGCTTAACACCTTTAAAGGAGAGCTGTTTCCAGCTGACAAGCTCAGAAGAAAATAATATCGTTCATTTATTAAAGTCTTTAATTCCTTCTATCTTTTTTCCCTGCTATTATGTTTTGTTGTTGATTTTGGAGAGAAAGCGTTGGGAGGGTGCTGAGGCTGCCTCACCCCCTCTAGTGGCAGTTACAGCTTTCCTGGGCACTTGGGAGGGGAAAAAAACCAGATTTTAAAAGCAAAATCTTTATAAAAAGGAACCAGTGCCTGCATGGAGGTGGACTGAACATACCATGCATTTGGTAATGCAGGTTGTTGCTGTCCCTTAAGGCTCACGGCAGGAGGCCCGAGAGGAGGGCTCCTTGCCACCAGGTGGCACTGAGGAACTCGGCAGAAACACTGAATTCCATGATTCCTGACAAATGTGCAGAAAAAGGAACTCAAATCACTTATTTTAAAAGCCTGCTAAAAAGCTGACTCTCTGCAGGCAGAAGCAGCATGACCTGAAGCAGCAGGATGGTGTTGGGTATTTTAAACTTCACCTGTCATCTGGGCGCTGCAGAATTTTCTACACACATGTCAAAAGACGTGTTTTTCTGTTTCTAACAGGTCAGTGCACTATCTGGATATTAGAGGCCCAAACTAAAATAAATCTTGGACCATCTTGGCTCCTGCTTTCCTGTCCTCATCTTGATCTCTTCCACCAGCACCTCTTTACTACCCGTGGCATGATTTATCTTGGCATTAAGGGTTAAACCCTGTGAGGTGCTGAGTACCAACAAACCCTACCAGATTCAGCAGGACTTGACACAGCACCTCCTGGGGTTTGGGCCAAAGGCTCCTATGAAGATTTCCTACATGAAAGGCTAAGTTCACAGTCTGTAACCTCCCTTCTCATCTAATCACTAAATTAGAGAGGCAAGGAGGGGGGAAAGTGAACAGAACAAAGGGGAAGAACCGCACTCTGTCCTTCAAAATTAATCCCATCAACTCCCTCTTGCCAGAGACAAGAAATCCCTCACCACAAGAGAGCGGGTAGTTCTTGCTCTCCCTCTCCAGACTGTGAGGGAGCCGGGAGAAACAGGGCTGGATCCTCCACAGATGCTGAGGGCAGAAAGCCCTGAGCTCCCTCACTGAGACACTGCCCGTGGCTGGCAACAAGCTGAGGATCCCCAGTCCTGAGAGCGCTGCCAGCTGGGTGAGTCTCAGCACACTCCCTGCTCTAGGTCAGTTGCAAATAAGGTGCATTTAATGGGCTTTTGGTAGAACCTGGAGGAGAAGGAGCAGCACAGAAGTTTGGGAGCATGCCCTAAGCAAGGGGTGGCCCAGGGCTGCCAAGCAGCACCCAAGGGCTGGAGGGAAGGGAGGTTGTCTTGGCAAGCCCAGTCAATTTGCAGCTCCTACTTCATCTTCCTACAGTATCTGCAGGAACCAGTCTTCTCCATCCAAGTTCCCACTGACTGATCCAAGGTTATTTGTTTGCTCTTGTTACAGCTCTCTTCAACTACCATCCACAGCCCATCCAGCTTAATTAGACTTTCCTCTCAACATCCCTGTCTCAACTCATTCAAGGAGAGCACCTCAGACATGCAACAACAGTTCATCTGCACAGTTCCACAACAGCAAACAAAGCAGCAAAGGAGGAACAGAAAACCACAGCCAGAGCCAAGTATCTGATGCCAAGAGAACGTCCCTGTGGGACAAACCTTCCACTCCTCACCTCTGTAATGAAGAGGATGCACTCCAGGAACATGAAGTCCTTATGGTTCTCGTTTACCACCTTCTCATCAACGAAGTGCCGAGGCTCCAGACTTGGATGGTCTAAAAAGAGTAAGAGACAACAGGAAGCAACCTGTAAGGCAGCCCCCTTCTGAGACCAAGTTCAATCAGGTGCTGTCCTGCCCCTCTTCCAGAAACACGATCTTCCCATCAGAGCTCTTCAAAAGTCAGCACAGAGCTGCTCCCTTCTATCTCGTCTCCCACTTCAGTGCCTCTGCAGGGAGAAAACTCCCCAGGGCAGAAAATGCATTTTCTAGCACCAAACCCGAGACTCTCCTTTTAAAAAGCTTGTAGTCATTGCAATAAAGACAAATGTACTGTACAAGGAACACTTCCACCTCCCAACCTAAGCAACCTGCTTTATTTGAAAAGCTGAGGGGGGAAAAAAAAAAAACCAAGCCCAAAACTCTTCTGCTGTAATATGCACAAATTTGACAGATTTGAATTTAGAAGTCAGCCCCAAGTCCCATCATCTCTGCAGCCTAGACAGATGGGGCAGAGGGCAGGCTGGGACACGAGAAGAAGATCTGTATTAGTACCTATCAGCTGGGAACTGCCCCATATGAAAGGCAGGAACTGGAAGTCATCCAAGCCCCACACACCCTGGCTGCCAGCAGGTTCCATCCTGTAGGTCTTCTGAAGTTTTCGCATCACTTCCAGGTACCTGAGACCAAAGAGAGGAGAAGGGTTAAGACAAAGCCTTCTTCTGCCTTTGACTTACATAAGAAGAACAACCAGTCTGGAAAAGGACACAGCTTTATCCTTTGTAAGCAGGACCTCCACATACAGCACAGTACATACAATATATATTCAGCTCCTTTGCCATAGGAAGCAGCCTGATGGTACCTGACACCAAATTCACAGAGAAATCCAGTGGCAGGGGTTTATTTCACCTGCAGTGTCTTATGTTGATGCAGATCTTTCCCCATTCCCACTGTAATTTGAAAACACTGACAGTTCACTCTCCTTCAACAACTTCCAAAAGAGCTCAGAAAGTTTTCCACCTTACAGCAATTGCTACTTCTACTTTTCAGGTGGAAAATTAAAGTGCTGTTGAAGGAAATTGTTTCCATGCCACCAAACAGTGATACAGCTGGGATTAGATCTCTGGACTCCAAACACCCAATCCACTAGTTTCATCACTACCAACTTTGCCTCCTGGGCTGGAAATACATCCAGAGGAGCAGTGGAAGCCTGCTAGTTGCATGGATTTTTTATTTTTGATGCCTGAAGAAATGTTAATCCTCTGATCAGATATTCCTGCCTATCACAAAACACGGAGCTTCACCCAGAGAGCTCAGTAACTTGTGCTCAACTAAAGTAACTTTCCAGAAGGACACTCAGCCTCTGATAGACAAGGGGCCATCATCTATTTTGGAGATAGTTATAATGGGTCAGTGTACAGTCCATTAAAAAGTACATCTGCTCATAATTTTGTCTAAAATTGGCTTCAGCTTTCCCACTCTGCCCTTTCCCCCAAACAGCCCAATACTTCCAGCCCTTCTCCTTCCATTACCTCACCTGTTAAACACTTTGAAGACGATGGCCATCTGGTCGTCCACTCTGAGCACACCAATTTTGCAGAGGCAGCAGAGAAAGGCTGCAAATGCAGCTTCGTGCCCTGGAGTGAAAAGACATGAAGAGACATGACACTGCTGTCTCTGGCCCTCAGGACAACCTTTCTGTGGGCACCACAACAGCTCTTCAGAAATCACAGCAGTCACAGTCCCCTCTCAACCCTGTTGTCACTATGAATGCCATAAGCTGACAGTGTTTCACCCTCACACAGCACCCACCCAAATTATACCTTCTAGACATTCATGAGTTGATTATTCACTTTGAGAAAAGATTCTTAAGGAAAAACAGCTCCAACACTGGACATGCTGGGAGCAAGGCAGGGACTTTCCCAGGAGCTTGGCACAGCAGGGGAAGTGGAGCACCACAGAGTCATCTGCTCAGGGGATGCAAGAGAACCTCACATCTGCAAGTAAACAGATTTCCTCCCACTTCAAAAATATCTCTGTGTCAGAAGAATGCAGATCCCATGACACTGCCAGGAACAGTCTGTCCCAGAAGGTACTGGGATCTTGGGCTGGGCCCCTGCAGCTTGGTCCTCCAGCTAACAGTAAGGAAAAGAAACAACCACCAAGGAAAAGAAACAGCCAGCAACCCCAGAAATGTCTTTTAGTGGAAGGGATCACGGAAGAAGGGAGAGTACAAGATCAGCAGCTCCACACTATGGGCAGGTGCAGCTCCCAGTGTAGGAACAAAATGCACCTACAGTCTGGTCACTATGAGCAAGGACACAGGCCTCTGGTTTGGGACACACAGGAGGGGAGAAGAGGCTGAATTTCCTTCTGAGCTGACCAAACCCCATCCAGCAAGTCCCTTTCCAAGGACAACATCTCCCCCTGGTGCCAGTGAGCCGCAGCCAGCACAGCACTCCAGCTCTTCAGCGTTTTACCCACAGCCTCCTCTTCCTCTCCCTGCCCAAGTTTCCTTGCACCCACAGCATCCTACTCTCCTGCCTCTTGGTGAGGGCACAGCTGTCCTCCAGAGAGAGGAGCAGAGTGTGTAGACAATTCTGTACTTATGTCTCACTGAAGCCAGTGTGGTTACTTCAACCTGCAATTCACCACCTCCTTAGGTGCAAAATGTTTCTACCTTCAGATTTCAAAGTCCCTCTGTAAGCAGCAATGTCACTTCTAGGGAGCACCAGAGCTCAGGACACCTCCCACTGAACATGAACTCGGTTCTCACTCTAGTTCCAAATCAAGTAATTATATTTTATCCCTTTAAAACTGCCTACTGCAGGACACCTGCATGCAGTGAAGCAGTTTCTACAGCTATTCCCAGAACAGCTTGGTTCCCATTTCCTCCAGTGAGATGTGAAAGGCTCTAGCACAGCTCCCAGCCCCAGCTCTCAGTCACAGCCCACACAGGACAGAGGGGTGAGGGGGCCCAGAAGGAAGGTGTTTGTTTCAAGCTGGAACTAAAAAAAGTGGTAATAACATTTAAATTAATGCAGCACCAGGCTCCAAAGGGTCCCTTCCCAGCTAGCCCAGCCTTGGCCAGTGTGCAAGCCCAGGTACCTGTGCCATAGTCAATGCGGGTGGAGTTCCCCACGGATTCCTTCAGGTACACAGCCACTTCTGGGGCAGCATCAGCCAAATGCTTGGGAATCACTGTTGCCACCAACTTTTCTGCTTCCTGAAAGACACAGGACTTCCCTGAGTGAGTGCAGATTTGCCACAGTCCCCAGGGACAAGTCACCCTGTGCTCAGCCCCTGCTGCAGTGGGGGAGCTGCAATGGTGCTCTCCTGCAGTGCCCAGAGCCAGCACGACAGAGGAGCAAACCCTCCTGTTGAAGAAGTCATCTCCAGAGATGGAAAAAGTCAGGGAAAACTTGGCCTGACACCCACCCAGGCCACATGCATCCTGCAGGACAGAAAAGCTTCAGCATCCAAGTCCACTGACCCAGTTACCCAGTGAGCCATCTCCAGGACAAAAGCATCACTAGAGCAGCTGCAAGGGCTCTGCTGCTGGGACTGGGACTGTGCCACCTCCAGCACCCAGTGCAGGGTAAGTGCTCTGAGCTGGAGGAAGCTGAGCAGTTTCCCTAACACTTCTCTGATTTTGTGACACAGTGGGCAGTTAAAAAGAAAAGGAATTCCTTGGGCTTGGAGAGCCCTCCAGGCTCATCCAGAACTTGGAGACCCAGCCAAGAGCATTTACAGGGCCCATATGCTCTCACAAGAGGAAAAGACAAGCACCAGGCCAGGGGTAAGTGATGCATATCAAGAGGTGGATCCTTAACAGCTTATCTGGGCAATTCCTCCACAGGCTGCTTGGCTGCCACGCAGTGATGGAGCCATTCTACCATCCCTGCTGGACACACCACCCTTCTGTGGGAGCTGCAGGTACCACCACACAGGAAACACACACTCACCTGGTCTAGTTTGGCGTACCAGGTCCTGAAGGCTTTGTTCCCAAAGCGAGAAGGCTGATCCACTGGCGGGGTTTCATCAATCCATCTGTCAAGGGTGTTCAGCAGAGCCACCAGCTTTTCAATGGGCTACAGAGAGCAAGAGGATGAGGGGTCACAGTGGCATAAACCAGAGCAGTCCCTCAGCTGCGACATCTCTTCCCTGCACTGGAGTCATTAAAGCCCACACCATTCTTTCCAGGGCTGGCAAGTGGAAATGGGATGTGTCAACCCTCCTCAAAATGCAGGGGGGTTGGGAAAACCATCCTTCCCCTCAGGAGATCAGTCCAGTACCAAGACCAGCCTGAGGCAGACTCTCCAGTTGCCCCCATAGTCCTTCATAAGCTGTAAGAGCACTGTGCTCCAAAACCTCTCAGAGAAGACCTACAGCAAGCTCCTGGCTGAGGGGCACACAGGGCTGAGAAGGAGGGAAGTGCTACACAGTTCAGGAGCCTCCAACACAAAACTCAGGCTCTGCATCTTGAGGGTCTTGCATTCTCCACAGGATACAGCACCATGTATCCTCACCCACAGCTGATGATGTGATTTAAAGGCCCTTCTCAAGGCTCTTATCACTGTCCTGAAGTGTCTCTTAGGAGCCAGGATTAGCAGCAATGCTGTTAAACCACCACGCCTGTACATCAAGTCAACCTTCCCAGCATGACTCCTGTTGCTTCAAACTCCTACCAGCCAGGCCACCACAGCAGGGATCCCTCAGCCCAGGGATGTGGCAAAACACAGCCTATCCAGGGGAAGAGGCAGCCTGGTTTGCCCACCAGTGCTCCCATCGGAGCAGGCAGGAGAAGAAGCTCTTGGCTCCCACAGAAATGTCTCAGTACAAACACAAAGCTGATGGGAAGACAACAGCAACAGCAAGACAACAGCCACGATTCTTACACCTAGTTCTGTAAGTGAGGAACATGTATAGGATGTATGAGAGTGGCCATGAAGGAAAAGAGAGGTGAAGCAGGTGACACAGCATCTGTGCTGTCAGACCAAGGCTGGCCAACACACACCCTCTCCCTTCGTGGGGAATGGCTACGCCCCACACACCAAGAGCCAATGCCACAGGCAGCATTTTTAGCAGCTCCAGACACTTTTAGGAGGCTCTGCTGACAACTGGTCAAGCCTGCCAGAGGCTCTGGGATTCTCCTTGCCTGACTCCAAGCAGCTGGAGAGCCGTCAGCCGCAGCACAGCAGCCGCCACAGCAGCTGGCCAGGCCCCGGGCAATGTAGGCTCCTCTGTCTCGAGAGGGGATTCCTCCTTCAAGGGGACAAAGAGGACAGGCGGCAGCGGCGGCTGGTTTGACTTTGCTGGAGGCATCGACCATGTGAAGCCGGCTGGTCTCCTGGGCTGTGGTTCAATTCCTCACGCTGCTGCTGCTGCCGGGAGGACGAGGAAACAGCAGAGCCCAGCAAGTTTCCAGCCCTTGAAGTGCCACTGGAAGGGGGTGGGCAGAGATGGGCACGGCAGAACGGTGCTGCCGCTGGGCCAGCTGAGGATCGCTCCCGGGAGGAAGGGTCTCATGGCACACACAACCTCCCACAGACACTGACTCCTGAGGTGCCACCCCAAGGACATGGTGGGATCAGCCAGCGGGAAGCAGGATCAGGCCGGAAAGGGATCCACCTACCTCACAGGACCACGGCACTTGGCTGCTGAGCCAGACTAGAGGCTGGGACAAGACCTGAGCACACCAGGAACACAAAAAAGCCAAGGGACAAGAGAGCCAAAAGCTCTGGGTGGCCTTGGAGCCACTAACAGGCCAGTGCCCCAGATACGTGCGGACTGAAGCAGCACAGCCCCCTCTGCTCCAGCTCCCTGCTCCCAAAACGCTGCAGGAACCCAGCACATCCCCACTGCACCGGGCCAGGTTTGGCCTCAGCCCTACTCCTTCCTGGCTATCGCATTCCCCTCCAATTAAGCAACAGCATCCCCAGCACTGGGCTGCATTAAATAATTAAATCGTGCTGGTGATTTATCCGCCGGCACCAGCAGCTCATTACGAGCAGCCACCGTATTTCAAACCCTCTCCACGAGCACTCGGTGCTGCCTGGATAAATGGCTGGCACGGACCAGCTCCTTCCCTGGGGAGCAGACTCCAACCTCCCCTTCCCCACTCGCTGGCTTTAAAGGGATTAAAAGCCCAGCCCCAGTGAACACGGGAGAGCAGGACCCAGCTGCCAGATCAGCCACACCAATAAATAATTAAAGAGATGCAGCTCATTTTGGGCTCAAGGCCCTTTGAAAAGGGGGTTACTAAAAGAAGCAGCTTCCCATTGTCCAGCAGAGGAAACCTGTACATCCAGGGCTGACCCCTGTGGGGGAGGAAAGGAGCCTGTGGGAACACAACCATCAGCACCACTGCAGCCCTGTTTTGCCTGGCTGGGCTTTTAAGCTCTATTTTTGCTTTACCTTTCCAATGATCAAAGCAAGGGCAGCCTCCCCCCTGCTCTCCTTGCTCTTCTCATTGTGCTGATTTTGCATCTCCTTGACCCTGAGTCTGCCACCGGTCCCAAAGGCAAACCACAGAGCTTCCTTCGGAGCACAGACCTGTCAGCAGCTCTCAAGAGCAGGAGTCAGGCAAACAGAGGTGCTGAGGAGGCATCACAGCAGCCAAAGCTGCCCGTGGGGGCCAAGTCTGCCCCTCTGGGCTCCTCAGGCCCTGTCAGGGGAGGGAGCTGCTTCCCCCCCTTCCCTCCTGGAAGCAGAGCAAGCCACAAGGCCGGCCAGTTTGCAGCCAGTTTCCCCCCAGTGCACTGGGCTGTTGGAAGGGAAGGTCTGCTCCTCACACAACGAAAATTAACCTCCTCCTCCTCGCTGCACTTCTCCTCTGATCCAAGTCACTGCTCCAGGCTGCAGACCCGAAAGGATCCCTGCATGGAAAGCACTCCCTCCAGGAGGGGAAGGCAGGTCACACCCTATCACTCACACAACCTTGTGCCAGACACAGTGTCTACACCAGAGTCCTAAACAACAGCTCAGCTATCAGTGCCTGTCAGATGCCTCCAGCAAACCCCAGACAGCTCCACAGAATGTTTCAGTGGGAGCACAGCAAGCTCAGAAGGTCTCTGAGGGGGCTCAGCCCCCACAGGATCCAGCTCCTGCTCCAGCAGAAAGGCTGGTATCGACACATGCTCTCTGGAAACCATTAAGCTTCTCTTTAAAAGCTGAGCAGAACATATTTTCCTTTTTTTATTCCATGGCAAAGCAATACCAGTAAGTCAGAGAGAGGATACGCGTTCTGCAGAAAGGATTCCAGGAGGTCATTTGCCAAAGGAAGGTGTCCCTGGCATTTGATCAGGGAGGAAGATGGGATGGCACAAAAGCACATCAGCAGCAGGTACAGCAAAAGAGAAGAAAGCTGAGCAGAGATGCAAGCAGAGGCCACGAGGGGCTGAGCCTTTAAAAGCACAGATAAGCAGTTTGATCTACAAAGCAGCCCGTGTGAACAAGCAACCTCATCAACAAGGCAACCCTGGGGATGCTCCAGCTGGGCCTCAAGTCATGGGCTCCTGCTCTCCTCGGTGTGAGGGGCATGAGATTTGTTCCCTGCCTCCTCCCAAGCAGTCGGGATCGTGTCTCTTGTTTGTCACTTGGACTGGGACCGTGGATGGAAAACATTCCCTCCAAGAGGGCTCTGCTGCAGACACAGCCCTGCTACAGCTTTTCCTGACAGCTCAAAGGCTTGTAGGAAGAGGGTTGGGTTTTTTTCCCCCCACTCTTTGTTTTGCTCATTTTTAATGCTTTGTTTCCCTAGAACTGCTCTGTGAATGGTTGGGAACAAGCGAGATCATGACAAAGACAAAACTCAAAGGTGAAACACAAACAGCAGAAAGCAAGAGCAGCATTTGACAGCAGTTTCTACTGAATTGAAGGAACAAAAGGTGGGCACGAAGCCTGTTAGGAAGGGGCTCATTATCCCCATTCCTCTCCATGAACTACAAGGGAGTTTCTCATTCACATGCTGGCTCCTAGGAGGGAAGGCTGGACTCAGACATGAACGACTGGGTTAAAGACCATCATCAGCTGCCTTCCCACACCAGAATGAAGCTATAAATACACAGGGCCCAGTCTGCTGCCCATGATCTCTTTACATCATTCTCAGCTTTCTTGCACCACCACGATCAGCAAAAATGTACCCAAAAATCTCCTCGTTGCAATGCAGAACAAGGGAGGGGGGATCCAACATCCAACATGTGCTCTGGCAGCACCCAGAGAGCCCTCAGGGCAGCAGTGACACCAGTGAAGGTGCCTGTCCTTTCCCTCTGGCTCCAAATGATCTCACCGTGCCACGAAAAGGTGAACAGACATTAAAACTGGTCCTGGCAACAGGCAGGGCCAGGTGACAGCCACATTCATACAAGGGAGAAAAACAGGTCCTTTCTGCTTAGCACCTTGGAAGGGGCAATCCTGCCCCTCAGGTTAAACCTCTCAGCTCAGCCCAGCTCCCTGTGAGCTCCACAGCCCCCTTAGCACGACCCTTGGCAAGGCAGATGCAGCCAGTGATGTGCCTTGAGGTCAGAACTGTCAGAGCAAAGCTTGCACAGCTCAGCTACAGCCTGGGATGAGGACACTGGTGCTGTTGTCACAGGCTGAGTAACGAGGAAGCCCAGGGACAAGGAGAGAAGTGACTTGCCCAAGGTCCTACAGAAAAGCCAGTGGGAGAACAGGAAGGGTAGAGACATCTCAGCCTTTTGTCTGCAATCAGGAAAGAATATCACATTTTTGAAGCATCACTGATTGAAGCCAGACTGTGAAAACAGGGCAAAACGTCCTTTCTGCACCCTCCTTTTCCCCACCAGCTTCTATCCACTTGTAACTTGCTCAATTCCCCATCCAGTGAGCACACACTGGGAGCCTCTGCCTCCTGGAGTGGGGATGGCAGCCTGGCATTTGCATCCCCAAGCATAACCCAACCACATTTATTCTCCCTGGCTCCCAGGTAAGCTGCCAATTCATTCCTCACCTAGGAAATATTCACTGTAGAGCCAATTAGGAAAAAAAAAAAAAAAAAAAAAGGAAAAAAGGCAGGAAAGGAGAAACAAGGGGATCCAAACTCTTCTCCTACCTCTGACACTTTGTATTCACAGGTCAGCTTCTTGCCCCTGACACCTTCGTTCAGGGTGAGGATGAAGCCCATGTAGTCTGCGTACGCCTGCAAACACACCGAGAGTGTAGGGCATTAGTGAGTGCCCACGGGCTGTCTGAACACAAAACACAGCATGGGAGCATCCTAAACCCCAAGGAAACCCTTCCCAGCACACAACATTGCTTCCTTGGAGACACCTGGGGGTGCAGGGCTTGCTGTGAGGCCGCTGCTCTTTTTGGCAGCCCCGGTGGCAGAAGGCAGATGGTGACTGCACTCTGAAAATTACAGAGGAGCATCCTAAAAATGCTCACATTGACCCCAAAATCATTCCCTCAGCTCCTATCGGGTCAAATTTAACCTCCTGAGCTCTGCAGAGTCTCAGCTGTGCCAAGGCACCCTGCTCCTCCCAGACCTGCACTGTTATCTCCCCATTCCTCCTTGGACTCTTCTCCCGTGCTCACACACGATAGGGAACTGGGACACAGCCCAGGCTCCTCGCTGCTCCTCTCTTTAAATTTGCTGCTTTTGAAGCACCATCTCCAGTGCAGCTCCACAGCTCCAGAGCAGCCACTGCCACCTCCCCCTCCTTGCACCAAAATCCTGACCAAGAGCAAGTCTTTAGACCCAGGAGACTTAAACTGGAAGCTGCACCCAGAGGTTTGCTTGACACCTGGATGCAACTTCAGCTTCTTTCCAGACATCTCAGATCAGTCATTGAGCAAGAATTTGGTGGGACAAGTCTGGGCCAACACCCCGATCCCTCAAAGGCAGAGAAGGGAGAACCTGCTGTTCCACCAGCTCCACACATGCTGTAAACAAAAATTATCCTGAAAATTGAAGGCCTTGGCTCCAGAGCCTTTTCCAGTACAGCACAGTGGGAAGGCCCCAGGACCAACCCAGGCAGCAGGACCATGTTCAAGGCGGGCTCAAACAGCACTGGGTAAATCTAGTTTGGGTATAAAATACAGGCCAGGTGGGATTAAATAGTCACCAGGTTCCTGTCCAGCTTGTTGGGAGGGAGCAGGAATCATTTCTAAGCTTCTCTGGTCTCCCTCAGCCTCTGGGCTCTCCCTGGCTCCCTCCTCCACACCTCGTTGCCAAGTAATTTTCCTACAAACAGGCACAAACCCATTAATTTCCCATTCCTTGCCCAACCCTGCTTTACCTCCTGGCTGTTCCCAGACCAGACCTGGCTGCCACTGAAAGCCCAGCAGCACTTCCCAGTTTTCCCTGTTCCCAGAGCCATACCTGAGAGCGCTTCCACTTGGCCATGTCAGAAACCACGTTTATCTCCTTTTTGGGGATCATGAAGCATTGCTGGATGGGAGGAGCCACCTCCTCAGAGGCACCTGGGAGATGCAAAAAAGAGTTAAAACAGAGGCAGTGGAGAAGAAGAAATCCTGTATCTTCCTTTCTTTGAAATCGACGTTTATTTCTCAGGAGATACAAAGCAAACAAATCCATCCCAATTGTGCCATCTCACCAAGTCCTCCTCACCAATATCCTCCTAATCCATAGATAACACACTCCTAAGGCTGGGCAAGCCTTCAGAAAGTAGCATTATGTCTGTTTTCATCACTAAACATGCATTTCCCACTTGGACAGAGAGACTGGTGAAGGAAGTAACAAAGGCAACATCCAGCCAGTTTAGTTATTTCTGTTTAGCACAGCCAAGCCTCAGGCTGTGTAGGAGCACTGAGCTCTCCTACAAACTTACTGAGCCTTGTTTTTAGGTGTTAAGTCTGACCTGCATTCCTCTAAAAAGGACAATTCCTGCACAGACAATCTGGAGGAGTTCAACAGATGCAGCCCAAGAGCTTGGGGGATGCTGGGACACAGCCCCTTCCAGGTGGAAGCTTTGAAGATCATTTAATTCAAAGCTCTCTCAGGGTCCAGGATTTAATATTTAACACAAATGCGAGCTATTAACACATTAGAGGGGCTCTTTTCCCCAGCACCTGAACCCAGGATGACCCTGCAGAGCCAGAAAAGCTCCAGGAGGTTAAAGGTAGTTTGTATTTTGCTCCTGGTAAATGCAACCATCAACAGCAAGAGGCTGTGTAGAGAGGTCTGTCAAGGAACCTGGGTGCTAATGTCAATTTATGAATTCTGTCAGAGCCACTCTGTCCACCTTTTTAATCCCAGATTTTCTGCAGGCACTTGTCCAACACCAGCTGCCCTGGCACGCTCAGCAACTGGTCTCCACATCTCGGCCACTTCAGGCACTGGCTCCCTAACAAATACCACCAGCTCTAACTCCTTAAAGTATTATCAACTGCATTCACACAGAAAGCACCGCCCAGAAGCATCAGCAGCCTTTTTCCACAGTGCTGCCTGGCAGGTAGATCAGATTAAAAGGAATCCAAAGTCCCAGGAACCATGCAGAGCCTGCTATAGATTTGTCATACAACCTTTGACAGTCATCTGACTTCTCTGCCTTTCACCTTCCCCACACACAGAACAAATTCAGCCTCATCTCCTGCCCTGGGGTGTCACAGCGTTTGGCTCATTCCTGCAGAAGTTACAGCAAAACTTCCAGGTACAAGGATGAGAGGAACAACACGTGATGAATTTCAATGAAAGGCACGTGCATGTCTCTCTTCTGAAAATACTGCACACAACTCACAGCGACACCAGGATGGAGCTCTGCTTTTAAAAGTGTTTATAACATGAAAACAACGAAAAACTCCTGAGCCGTGGCATAAAAAGGCAAACACTGATGTGTCCATGAGCACAGGTGACACATAAATCCCAGAGGGGCGGCCAGGGCAGTGTCCTGGGCCGGGGACCCGGGTATTTGCCCTTCACAGAACTTTATCTCTTTGTATTTGTTTCTCAGCCATCGCTCCTTCTGACCCACACTTTGTTTAGTGCCTCTTGGGAAGGAGACCAGGAATACTCACGGAAGGGCTGCAGGGGTTACAGTGTTCTGGGATGAACACAGGAGAATCCAAACCTACTGGTGCGATGGAGCACAGCGGGTCAGCTTGATGACGAGAAGCAGCTTGGACTGAGGAGACCCTTCCAGGGGTGTGTGGTGGTGCGGGGAGGGGGACTTAAACTCGGGCAACCCACAGCACACGCCCCCCATTCCGCGCGGGAATCAGTCAAAGAACTGGGCTGGGGGTGACAGGGACCCCCGATCCGGCGGCTCCAGGGGTTCAGCCACGACCCCGCGCCACACCCCAGGCTCCGTCCCTTCCCCACCTCAGCAAACGCCCCCGCGCTCCCCGCCCCGGGGCGGCGCTGCCTCCGCGCGCCCCCGCAACCCGGCCCAGCGCGCCCCGCGCGCGGATGCCCGCGGCGAATGGCATACCCGGGAGTCCGTCGGGGCCCGAGCGCAGCGCCCCCCCAGCGCCCCGCGCCCCCCCCGCCCTCCAACTTCTTTGCCCGCCGGCGGCGGCCATCTTTGCAGCACACAAGCCCGGCCCTCGCCGCTCCGGCACTATCACCCGTGGCGCGGCCCTCTCCGCACGTCGTGCCCGCGCCCGCCAGTTTGTGCGGGCACTGCCCTTCCCACCAGCGGGGGAACGGGCGCGCGGGCGAGCAGGAGGATCTCCTCACCAGCGCGGGAGGAGGCAAGCTTAGAGAGGGCCGCGACACCGTCCGCGGGCTCCCCCCTCTCGCAGCATCACCCTGCCCCTTCCCAAGATGGGCGCGGGCTTCGCCCGCTCCAAATGCGTTGTGGGGGCCCGCCCCCGGCGGCGAGCGGGGCGGCGGAGCGGGGCGGCGCGGTGTCCTTACGGCGGGCCTGGGCTGGCGCGAGGCCATTGCTCGCCTTGGTGCCCGGGGCTGCGGTAAGGGCGCAGGGGGCGCTTGGTTTGCAGCCGGGGGAGGCCCGGTTCCGGGGGGACTTTCCCAGGCAGTGGGTTCCGGGCAGTGCCGCTGTTGGGGCTGCCCCAGCCCGGGGCACAGGCGCCGGGGAGTCCCCGATCAGGGCCGTAGGGCGGGTGTCCCGCGGTGTGAGCAGGGTGGGAGGGTCGGTCCCAGCTCCCGCAGCCCCCCCGGCGCGGGGCAGGGGCGCTGCCCGGGTCAGTCCCCCCGGGCCGGTCGGTTCCTCCCCGTGCCCGGCGGCAGCGTGAGCGGTTGGGCTGTCCGGGATGGAAATCACGGAATCACGGGGTAGTCAGAGTTGGAGGGGACCTCTGGAGATCGCCAGGCAGGGTCACCTGGAGCAGGTGACACCCGAACGGGTCCAGGTGGGTTTGGAATGTCACTGGAGAGGGAGACTCCACGCCCTCCCTGGGCACCTGTTCCAGTGCTCTCTGGAAAGAAGTTCTTCCTCACGTTGGTGTGAAACTCCTTATGTTTTAGTTTATGGCCATTGCTCCTCGTCCTGTTGCTGGGCACCATGGAAAAAAGTCTGGCACCATTCCCTTGCATGAGGATGATTAGTGAGATCCCCTCTCAGCCTTCCCTTCTCCCGACTAAACAGGCTCAGCATCCCCAGCCTCTCCTCATAAAAGAGATGCTCAAGTCCCTTAATCGTATTTGTGGCCCCTGCTGGACCCCATCCAGTAGCTCCTCGTCTTTTCTGTGCTGAGGTGTCCCACTGGGGCTGGACAGCACGGAGGGGCTGGGCTTGGGAACTGCTTATTGCAAACCCTGTCAGGTCCCGGGAGGAGGAGGCAGAGCAGCAGGAGAGCAGCTACAGGATGGATCCACTCCCGGAGTTAGAGGGCCCAGGCAGGGCTGGTTGTCTCTGGGCTTGAGGGAGTCTCCAGCTTCTTATTTAAAAATAAAAGACAAAGACAAACCTCTGACATCTGACACTCAAATACTGTGGCCGTGCTGAGAATCAGACACTGCTGTGAAATTCCTCCTGCCCCACAGCCCCTGGCTGCAGGTGGATTTCCTTTCCCACCAGCTTTGCAGGCTCTGGCAAAGGTCATCTGTCATGCTTGGACGTGGCTGGGGAGCGATGCCAGCCCACGGGCTGGCCCTGTCTGCACATCCTGCTCCACTGGTGTTCCTTTTCCTAGTGCTTGTGGGGGGAGGTGGGCTGTTCTGTTTGCTGCCAGCTGCCTCCTCAGCTCAGCTGTGAAGGCTGTTCCTCCTCCCACCAAACACTTTGGAGTTTAACTCCAGACTGAACAAGCAGGGGACATAAAAGAGGGAAGATGCAAATGCATTCCACGTTTTAACATGCAGTGGCTTCAGTTAGTTTGGTTTGGGATTTTCATTGTTACCCCAGGGGAAAATCTGAAAGTGTTTGCAATCATCATTCTTGAGCTGAGCTCTGCAGACTGTGCTTGTCAGCCCCTCAGTTCATTAGACAGACAGGAAGGAGGGGCTGATAGTCCTTGTGGCTGCACGAGTCTCTCATTGCCCTGCTGTGGAGATATGTTTTGGGTTTGGGGGTATTTTTTTTTAAAGGTTGACAAGCCAGAACTCCCCAAAGTCTCAGCTTGCAATAATGCCCACACATGCATAGGGAGTGAGGGCAGTTAAGATACTTCCTTTAGCCCCAACCTGAATTTGCCCCCATCTCCAACTAATCTTACACTACCACCAGTGAGGCTGGGTCACTGTCCTCACCTGACACCCTCTGGCCACCTTTGCCTGACTAAAGGGACAGAATTGCCCACCCCCCACAGAAGGGCTCCCTGCAGCTTTTCCCTTCCAGTGCCAGCTCACGGTGCCACCTCCTTCCAGGACATAAACCAGGGTCTCTCCTCATGTCCAGGCACCTCTCACAACAGCTGCAGTAGTTTCACCATCCATGCAGAGGCTGAGGGAACAACATTCCTGGAGCTGTCACTTCTGCCGTGGCTGGAGCCTAGAGCTGTTGATCAGAGAGACTCTGCCCACAGTTATTGATCAGCACTGCCAGGCAGTGTCTGCCAGGCAGACACAGAGAGGCACCTCTGGGGCAGTTGTCGCAACCCTGGTTTGATTATTCCCGTCCCTTCCCGGGGCTGTGCCAGCCCCTGAGCTCTCTCATCGGAGCAGTCATGTGGCACTTGGCTAATAAGGTGACGCCCTGCACAGGCAACACATTGTCAGGTGGAAGAGGAGACCCAGACAGGCCGAGGGAGAGGTTTACGGTCTTTTCTGTCCTCCCAGCCATGGATAGGAAGCAAGAGCAAGCAGAGAAGGTACAGTATGCCCACACTTCCATGATTAACACCCTTCGTTCCTTCCCAGCCCTGCCCTTCTTTCCTGCCTCAGTAATTCCTCCTTCTCTTGTTTTTCTCCTTCCTTCTCCAAACCTTGGTCTCACAGCTCTTGCCAGGTCCCACAAAGAGCACAGGGCATTCTCCCTGGGGACTTTGTCACCTTGCAGATTTAGATCTTTCTTTCTTCTTCTCTGTGCTTAACTGCTGGGAGGAGGTGTGGGGACAGCTATTTTCATGGTTTTGAAAATGAAAGGGATTGTTCTCTCTGGCTTTGCATCCTCAGTACACTGAGAATGCAAAGTCCAGAGTCCTGCAGGAGTGTCTGATTCAGTAGATCCAATGGAGAGAGAGATGCAGAGGGAACTGGAAACCTTTAGAGTACAATTTAAACATCTTCAAGTTAGCACTTGGGTTTGCTCTGTTTCATTTCTCTGACCAGGGAAATGGTTGGTGCTTTCTGAGGCTTCTGCTCCAACACAACCCACTTGGACCCCAGGAGCCTGTTGGCACCACCCACAATTTCCTGTAGTCAGAGAAGAGGCATTTTAATCCTGCTCCAAACTTAGCTAAATTCTGCCTCCTCAGAGCCAAAAGGGTAGTTTGGTTTGGCACGAGGGTTCTGTTTAACTTTTTTGCCTTCTGCTGTTGTAAGAAACTCTGAAAGTTTCTGACAGTACATAAGATGATTATTTCTTTCACAAGTTTCTTCCCACTTACCGTGGGATGGAAGGGTTTGACTTTGTCAAACACATGGAGACTCTCAGCTGGAAGGTGCCCAGTGTGGGAGATTATCCCAGCAGCATTTTCTCAGAGGAGCTGAGAATCAGAGTCTTGGGAGATGGAGTTCCTCTTTTGCAGCTCTCCTGGGTGCCCTGCACCCTCTCCAGCAAACAGCCGTGCTCTGCTCCCAGGCTGGGACACCTGTGTGCCTGTGGAGAGGCTGGGATGGAGATTCCCAGATCCAGGTTATTTGCTGGCTCGTGCACACCAGGGGGAAGCTTTGTCTCGACACTTGCTCTGTGCTTTGCAGGCCAGGCCCTGTGGCCTGCTGAAGCCGACAGCATCTCTAGGCAAGATCCTGGGCAGAATCCAGCTCCACCAGGAAGCACTGCCCCCCCTGCCCGTGCCACCACTCCAGCAGACCCTGGACAGGTACCTGCTGACCCTGCAGCCCATCGTGAGCCAGGAGGAGCTGAACCACACGCAGGAGCTGGTGGCCGAGTTCCGCAAGCCGGGAGGCGTCGGGGAGAGGCTGCAGAAGGGCCTGGAGAGAAGAGCCAAGAAAACAGAGAACTGGGTAGGTCAGGACTGTCCCCAGCTCCGGGGAGGGAGGGTGGAGGGCTGATGGTCACCTCTCCCATGTCCTGGCTGGGTCACTGGCACCTGTGTTTTAATGGCATCACCTTTATGACCAGTTTGTTGCTGACCTCCCTGAGCTCCTCAGCACAACTTGGGTGAGCAGAGAGGTTTATGGCAGGACAGGGAGTTGCTGGCCCCTGCCTGTGGCTGCTGAAGGCTCTGTCAGCATCATGCAGCTGCCCCAAGAAACTGAAGGAAACCCTTTACTAGAGCCCTGCACTAAGAACCCCTCCTGCCTTGCTCAAATCGCCCTCTCCCCTTCCCACCTGCAAAGCAGAAACCCCAAACAGTTTGTAAAGTGTGGGGCAGGGTGCTGAGACCTGTGAGCCAGGCTCAGGTCAAACAGCAGCTCATCCCTGCACGTTGCCTTTCTCCATCCCAGCTCTCAGACTGGTGGCTGAAGACAGCTTACCTGGAATATCGCCTGCCAGTTGTGGTCCACTCCAGCCCAGGTGTGGTTTTACCCAAGCAGGATTTTCTGGATCGACAGGGTCAGCTCAGGTAAAGTCCTTTTCTCCTTTCCCTTAGGTGGGATAAACTTTCTGTGCTGGACAAGGATGAGGGTGTTCAGGCTGATTGGGAAAGTAATTATCATGTGGTCCCCAAGTCTGAGCTGTCTGTGCTGTGCAAGAGGACTCCAAGGGCAAGGCTGCCAGGCTGTAAGGAAACTCCTGGTTGCACCAGGCTAAATATTTAATCACAGGAGAAAACAAGAGTCCAGTGGTTCAGGTATTAAACAGGGACTAAACACTTACGTTTAAGTCTTTGCTCTAGCACAGATCTTCATTGCAAGATGGTCAAATCACTGGCTGGAGGCATTGTGAGGATGTATCTGAACCACTAAGATTGTGTGTGCATTTAAAGGAGCCATAAAAAGTAGCCCAGGCATGTAAGGGAGATTATCCAGGAATGCCTCTGGAGTTTTCTGGTTTATAGGGATGAGGGAGCCCTATTGTGTTGTTTCACTTGTGATTTATGGTTTGGGAAACTTCATAGTGACCAGCCTCTCCACTCCAAGCCTTTCCTTGCAATCAGACCTTGCCATGCCCTCTCTTCCTTGTGGCCTCCCTTTAATTTTTAACCACTGCTATGAGTGTGTTGAATTCACCTTTCCAAACTTTAGCACTGACCTTTACACAGTTACCTTTGCCACAGTTATCAGTCAGCACTGCCCTGGAGATCAAAAGTAACAGCCAGGGGATCAGTGAGGAACAAATCCTCCCTCCCACCCCCGTGATACACCTGAGCAGAAGTGCAGAGGATAAACCTTACGACAGTGCAAGAGTACACAAACATCTTTGAAAGCTCTGTCATGTTATTCCTTCTTAAGCTGTCCAAATAGCACATAAGATCTGGAGACCTGCCAGTGCCCCAACTAGTAGAATTGAGAAGCTGCATAAGAATCTGGGCTTCCCTGTAAAACTACAATCTAAATGTGTGTTTGGGTAGTTTGTGGCTGTACAAAGAAGTTGTACAAAGTGCAACTTCAGACTAAAGCTTCAGAAACCAAAAGGCAAATTTAGAAAGTGGTGGTTCTCCACTCCTTAATCTGGTAACACTGCTGTCTGAAAATGAGTCAACCAACTTCTCCTCGAGCCCAAACTCTGCTCCCAGGCTGTTCAATCTCAGAAAAAGAACATAGGCTCTCTCACTGGTGTTTCCCTCAGGTTTTACAATTAGGCTGTGAAATTTTCATTGTAAACTATTTCTCAGGATGTCTCATTTAACAGCCCTTAAGTTCTTGGAGTTGTGTCCTTTGGTCATTCCTAGGGCTGGGTGGGCTGAGCCATCTGAGAGGACACAGCCTGCAAATGCCAAATGCTGGCACCACCTGACCACAACCTCTTGTCCCAGTGACCCCCTACCTCCTTTCCCCCATGGATGGGTGGGAGCTCCCAGGTCAGAGAAGGCTAATCTTGTCACAGCCCTGCTGGCACTGGCAGTGTTCACGTGATCCTGGTAAACACAACACCTCAGTGTCCACATGCAGCACCTCTGCCTTTGTTTCAGAGCCCTCAGTGCCAGAGGAAGGTTCTTCAGGGTTGCATGAGCAGCAGGATGTTCACTGGGTAGGAATTTAGTCAGCAGTGATGAGTCTTGGATGCAGGGAGAAACTTCTGTGATTTGGCTTGACACTCCAAGGTGGCCCCTGGCCAGGAAAGGGCAGAAATCCCCTTCTCTTGGTGCTGTTTTAATGCTGAGATTCAGAACTCGGATGTGATAAAATCCTCACAGATCAGTAACAAACGCTGCTGTTAGAGGGTCATCTGGACTGAATCCTGCTTTCTTGTAAGTTGTCCAGCATTCCTTTATACAGTAAGATACGTAAAAAAAGTGCCACGTGGGAGGACTACCCAGGTATCTCAAATCACAGCCCAGAGTGGTTGTGTCAGTGAACCAGATAGGCACAACAGGGGCTTGGCAGAAAGGCTGAGCTTTCTAAGGAGCAGAGAGCAGCTCTGCTAATCCTCCTCTGCTCATCCCTCAGCCCCAGATGGTCTGTGCTTGAATCTCAGATTGTTACATTTGATATTTTTCCAGGTTTGCTGCCAAGCTGATCGAGGGCATCCTGGATTTCAAGTCCATGATTGACAAGTGAGTTATTGACCCTCCTGACTGCTCACACGTTCCTTCCTGTCACAGAGAGGCTGAGCCTCGTCCATAAATCTCCCTTCCAAATAGAAAGGCAAGAGAAGACAGCGCATATTTGAAAAGAGATATTGTAATCCCCAGCACTGCTCACTGCCACAGTCACTACTGCTGGAAAGAAAGCAAGCTTACTTTTCTTTCTTCATGTTCTTTGTTTACCTTAATGCTTTCATTGGCACACGAACGTGCTTGCAGGGAGCGAGCCCGACTGCCAGTCCTGTGGAGCTTCGTGCTTCTGTTTGCTCACAGGACAAGGTACAGCTCAGGCAGCAGGAATCTGTTTCTCTCATTTTGGGTTCCTGGTGTTTCTCATCTCCCAGCCAGACGGGATGAGCTCTAGAGAAATTTGTGCCTCCCTTACCCTTTTTCTTTTAGTCACCAGCAAATCTCTGCTGAACATGCCATATTTATGGTCCAAAAATATGTTTACCAGCACCAACAGTCAAACAAGGTTCAGGGCTAGCTGTGAAAAGGGTAGTTGGAATATGGCTGATAAAGTGAGTGATTGACCCCAGCCTAGTTCATGTCATATCAGCACATCAGACACTCGTCACTCAGAACTACAGCCATGGAGTAGGTCCAGAGACTTCTCTGCTGTCACAGAGAGGACGGTGCTTTTTCCTTCCCAAATGGAAGGCCAGCAAACAGACATTTTTTGTAGCCCCTACTAGGAAAGCTGGTAGGAATGGGGAAGCACAGCCCTTTTTTTATCCCACCAGCATCTTTAGGTCTTGCTGGAGTGACAGCAGCAGCAGAGCTGAGCCTGTGCCCTGTGGGGAGCACACCCTGCTCACACTGATCTGTTTTCTCTCTCCCTCCCTCCTTACCTTGCTGTGTCTCCAGTGAGACCCTTCCAGTGGAGTACATGGGTGGGAAGCCCCTCTGCATGAACCAGTACTACCAGATCCTCTCCTCCTGCCGCATTCCCGGGCCCAAGCGGGACTCCATTGTCAACTATGCCAAAGGCAACAAGCAGTCCAGGCACATCACAGTGGTTCACAACTTCCAGGTATGGCAGCTCCTGAGCTTTCAAAGTGCCCCTTTCAGCTAGTTGTGATCCAGAAAGGGAACAAGAGAAAGTCTCTGCCCACAGGGTTTGCCTCACCTGGGAGTCATTCCTGCTCACTTTATCCTCTTTGGCCAGCAAGGCCAAGAGCTGGAATTACCATGTGTGAGCAACAGAGTGCGAGGCAAAAAAATGCTCTCTTCCTCTGTTTCTTGTTCCTGAAATTCCTATCTCTCAAAGCCTAGAGATTATGCCTGGAATTGGAAACTGCAAGTGGAAATTGGATAACAAACCCTCCCACCACAGCTTGGTCTCAGAAACAGGAATTCCTCATGTGTTTTGGCTCTCATTACCATGGTTTCTGAGCTTCTTAAAACCAGGACTGTATTTATGCCCTGCAAGGGAAGCTGGACTTGGGTTTCTCAATTCTGAGTATCCTTCAAAGTTCTGCTTAAAGCCAAGTTCTTAGGTCAGGTCTTACCTTCTCAAAGTAGCTGTTGCCTGGTTTTTGGGTCTGGACAATAACAAGCTTCTCCCATTCCCTCTCTCCTTGTCCACTCTTCTCACCATTCAGTTCTTTGAGCTGGATGTTTACAACAGTGATGGATCTCCCCTGACTGCCGAGCAGCTCTTCATCCAGCTGGAGAAGATATGGAACACCTCCCTCCAAACAAACAAAGAACCTATTGGGATCCTCACCACCAACCACCGAAACAGCTGGGCAAAAGCCTACAACAACCTCCTGAAAGGTCTGTAGATCCCCTAACACACAAGTGCTAACAAACACTGCAGATCCTTGAGCTGCCAACCTCACCACTGTGCTCTGCTCAGAAATTTGGAAGCTTGTTCTGGACAGGTGACATGAGGTTTTCACCTCAAAGAGCAATCAATGCAAGGTCAGAAGCTCGGTTTGTTAGACCTGAAATCCCAGAGTTTGTTGCCTTGCACATGTAAACGATGTGAAAAAAGGAGGGTGAATGCAGCATGTTCAGACCTGTAATAGCTGTGTACACCCCCACTGGATTCCCACACCGGGTCCTCCAAACCTGCTCTTGCAACAAGGTTTTCAACTCCCCTTCCTTACTGGCGGTTCCTTTCTCTCCCAGACAAGACCAACAAGGAGTCTGTGCGTGCCATTGAGAAGAGCATCTGCACCGTGTGCCTCGATGCCCCCATGCCCCGGGTGTCCGAGGACATCTACAACAGCCGCGTGGCCGCGCAGATGCTGCACGGCGGCGGCAGCCGCTGGAACAGCGGCAACCGCTGGTTCGACAAGACCCTGCAGGTAAGTGCTGCTGCTCCAAAGGTGCTGCAGGTCTGGGTCTGCAGATTTTTTTCTCCTGAGACTACAAAGGTCCAAGAAATCCCTTGTGCAGGCGAGTTTTCCTCCTGTCAAGAGGGTGGAAAAATAAGGCAGACGAGGTGTGGTGGCTGACAGTGCGAGATCCTGTGGTTCCCCTTGCAGTCACCAGCACTCTGCTGCCTCAGGGATTTGTTTCTTCTACTGCCTCTGCCCACACTTACTCAGTGCAGCAGGTCTTTGTGTTCCTTATAAATCAATTTTCTGCCTGCGGTGAACAATTCCTTGTCTGCTCAGAGGCAGCCCAAACGATGGGAGGTCTGTTCCTTGGATCTCCTCCAGGCTTGTCACTTTTCCTGGTTCTGCCAGGAGCTGCCCAATGGCGTTTTGTTTTGTTTTCTCAAACATAAGCTGCCATCCCACAGCATCCCTCTGATCTTTTCTCCATTCAGTCTTGTCAAGAGCCTTCAACAGCAGCTGCTATTGGAGCTTTTCCTTCATTAGTTGGTATATCCTGGCTTGTGGATTGTAGCAATGGTGCTTTAGAAGATTCTTCTTGTACTTGCTGAACTGTTCATAATGTTTTCAGCTGTTTTGTTCCTATTTGGAACTCTTCACTGATGGGATAAAATTTAGAAGTTGCAGCTAATTCCAGTTGTGCTGCTTCTCTCCCAGTTCATCATTGCTGAAGATGGCTCCTGTGGTCTCGTGTATGAACATGCTCCCTCTGAAGGTCCTCCCATCGTTGCTCTTCTGGATCATGTCGTGGAGTTCACGTGAGTCCTGCCTCCCCTGCTCTTCCTCACTGTTGGGAACAGTTTCTAAACCACCTGCTCCCCAGGAACATGCCTCTTCACAGCTCAATCCCCAGGAATCTGTTCTGGAGGAAGGGTGGTGGGATGCTAATTAGGTATTGCAGTTCTTGTATCCATGAGGAGAACTGAGTGACCAAGCTACTCTGGTAGTACTGCTTCCACTCTTGGGGAATTGCACTAACTTGAGCCAGGGAGAAGTGTTTGTTTCTTCTTTTGGGCAGAAGGCACAGAAGACATTTCATTCACACCCTTTGTAAAACAGCATACTGGCATTGTGAGGAATTTTTCAGAATGTAACCAGTGTCACAAGGTGTTAGGGAGAATCTCCTGTGCATTTCTATCCAGGCTCTGGTGTTCAAGCTGAGCCTTATGTCAAAGGTCTGATCAAACAGAACCATTTCTCTGTGCAGGAAGAAACCCGAGAAGGCCAGATCACCAACGGTTCCTCTGCCAATGCCCAAAAAGCTGCGGTTTAACATCACCCCAGAAATCAAGAATGACATAGAGAATGCAAAGCAAAACCTCAACATGTGAGTATGAAGCAGTGGAGAGGTCAGTGAGTGACTGGGGGAGTAATTCATGTCTCCCTTTGGAGCATGTCAGTGGTTTAAATGAGGCTTTCCCTGCTGCAACCAGGGAGCATTCCCAGGGACTTCTGGGGTCAACAGCACTGAATTGAGCTGAAAAGTACTAAAGCCACCTGCCAGGAATAAAGTCAAAGGTGCTGGAAAGGGGTAATTACTGATCCATCCCATTTGCTAAGAATGAGCAAGACTTTACTGGATCCAACTGGGAATACTGCAGCATAAACACACACAAGCCCATCTGAGCTGGTGAAGATTTTCAGCAGTGGCCAAAAAAATCTTACCTCTGTGGTGCTGGCCAAAGAAATCTGTGTGTGGTGGTGCTCTCTGTCCCTGCATAGGTCAGATCCACATGGCCTGTTCCCTCTGAGCCTTGTGAAAGCAAATCCACTCCTCTGTGTTACAAGAACAAGCAACAGGCAAAGAAACACTTTTTCTTTCCTTGCAGAATGGTCGAAGACCTGGATATCAAAGTCATGGTCTTTCATCACTTTGGGAAAGGCTTCCCCAAGTCAGAGAAGATAAGCCCTGATGCTTTTATCCAGCTGGCCTTGCAGCTGGCGTACTACAGGTAAGAGCACCAGCAGGGAATTCCTCAACCTCCTCAAACACACGAGCTTGATAAAGGTGGCACAGAGAAGCCTCTGCAGGGCCTTTCCCCCAGGGCAGGCTCAGTGCTGTGACTGTCCCCTCCTCATGCAGGATGTACGGCCACGCCTGTGCCACGTACGAGAGCGCGTCGCTGAGGATGTTCCGCCTGGGCCGCACCGACACCATCCGCTCCACCTCCGTGGACTCCCTCAAGTTTGTGCAGTCCATGGACAGCCCTGACAAATCGGTGAGGAACTTGGAGTGAGAGGACTCCGCTCCTAAAAATAAAAGCTGCTTACTCGGCTAACCCTGTGTCAGCTGGTTTCAGCTGAGCGGAACTGCACCCGTTACGAAACTGAGCCAAAACGTGGCTTGAGATACGTATTTACAAATATAAAACCGTGGGTTTCATTTGGCTTTTCTTCCACATGTGCTGAAAGCCTGGGAAACAACACATGGATGTTTCTAATCCCGCCAAAAAGTCCCTTCTAAAAGTCTGTTTGGCTACTCAGACTAAGTTCTGCTACTGATGGATGAACTCCATTCAGAATGAACAAACACAGCAAAACAAAACAATGTAAAAATTAAATCTAGTAAATATAAAAGTTAGTTTTGTACAGACACCCAAGACAGAAATGCCCTCCATCCTAGAGGAACAGCCAAAATGAGGTTTTCCATTCCTGAAAAAAAATTACATCTGTGTGTTCTCAGGACCAGGAGAAAGCAGACCTGCTGAGGAGAGCCACAAAGGCCCACAGGGAATACACAGACATGGTGAGTGTCCTCTGTGCAGCCAGACTTGGGGTTTTACCCAGAAAATGATGGTTCTGGGGAAAGAAGACCTTAAGAGCTTTCACTGCTGACACAGCAATGTGACTGTTGCAAAGGTCTAACTGATCTGACAGTGCTCTGAGGCCACTGAGTGAATCCTTTCTCTCTAGCTAGTGGTTTAAGTGTCCCTTGTGACTGACCTAAAGGAGAGGATCACATATTACAATAGCTTCAGTTCTTACCATCATTGCTGCTCATAAATGCCAAAGTTGCACAAGGACCCCTTAAACCAGAGGGAATCCATGGGCAGGAACTGTAAGGTTGGTTCCACTGGTGTGTTTAATTTCACAGTCCATACAATTAAGAATGACTGTTGGTCCTAAAGGCAAGATCTAGTTTCCTTCTAACTTCCAACATGTAGAGATTTTTAGAAGTGTTCTTTTCTTTGTCCCAAAGAAATGGATAGTTTTGCTCACTGGCCTGCTGGACTGGCTTTCATCTGCCCTTCCTTCCTTCCAGGCCATACGGGGCAATGCCATAGACCGGCACCTCCTCGGCCTGAAGCTCCAGGCTATTGAGGATCTCGTGAGCATGCCAGAGCTGTTCATGGACACAGCCTATGCTGTTGCAATGCACTTCAATCTCTCAACCAGCCAGGTAGGACAAAAGTGCTTTCTCTGCTTCTTTTCATGCTTTTCTTCTCCATGTTTCTTTCGTTCCTTTCTATTATACAGTAATCTTCATTTGAGGTCAGGAATTTTTAAGCCAGCTGCCAATCCCATAAAGGTGCAGATCTGACCTTACAGCTGCCACAGTCCCTCACAGCCTTGTAGAAACTAACCTAACCAAAGCCAGGATCACCAGAAGTGTTTGGTGCCTAAATGCAAGTGAGATCAATGAAGCCAGCTGCCAAGACAGCTTCATCTTATCTGCTGTGCTCTGATTCTTACTTGTGACTTACTACAAGTTTATCCTGGGGAGAAGCACTCCTTGGGAAATGCAGAGGAAGACACATTGCTGCTAAACTGTAGGATCCAGCATGAGTGTGGTGGGAGGTGGGGCTGACCAGAGGCCCTTCTAGAGCACCTTAATGAGATGAGTTTCCTGCTGACAGAGCTGTTTGCATTTGATGGTTTCCCTTCTCTCTGACTGGTCAGAAGGTTTTAATCACATTGTCTCCACAGGTCCCAGCAAAGACAGACTGCGTGATGTGTTTTGGTCCCGTGGTTCCAGATGGCTATGGAATCTGTTACAACCCCATGGAAGAACACATCAACTTTGCAATTTCAGCCTTCAACAGCTGTGCCGACACAAACGCCGCCCGCATGGCACATTATCTCGAGAAGGCACTGCTAGACATGAGGATCTTGCTCCAGGCTGCTCCCAAATCCAAACTGTAAGAGGCAAACATGATGCAAACCCCCCCCCTAGTTAAAGGGGCTATGCCTCATGCGCTGAAGTTCCCAATTCCTCAGACAATAATTGAGAGAACAGCTGCCCCTGGAACCTAGGAAGGCTTCTATCATTTGCTTTCATCAAGAGGTTACACAACAGTCACCCGCAGATAGCAGACTCTGTAGTGAAAGGAAACAGTCTCAAGCCAAAGTAGAGCTGACTGGTCCTCTCCCGTCAATGCAAAGTGCACCTTCCTGTCCTCAAAGAGGACTCAAATATGATTTTTACAAAACTTACTATAAAGGAATACAGAAAGCACAGTCCTTACCAGTATCTAAATCCATTTGGTGAGGAAGGTAGTTCTCCAGGAAAAGCAGGGAATGTTTATTGTGTGATGCAACTACTAAGTCTTCCGAAGAGCGTCTTTCAAACTTGACTGAAGGTTTTTCTGCTGCTCCAGCAAAACTTCACCACTGAACTTTGGCAAGGGGAGAAAGAAGTTAAGCCAGAGCAGATCCAGCCTTGTTAGAGTGCACTGCACTACTAATCCCAGGCACTCCAACCAGTATCTGCTTTACAGGAACATTCCCTTCCCTTCATTTTAGGACACTGGGATCTCCCTTCTGTTGCACTGACCTTATTAACAACAGAACATGACTCGCTGCAAACTAAGGTGGTTTTTATTGGTGGTTTTGTTGTTGTTGCTCTGGGCTGTTTGTTAAGCTTGCTGCTGTGGTCCTGCCATTGATCTTCCAGCTCAGCCTAAAGCTTTTTCCCCCACAAAGCTTCTATGAAACTCCTCTCACATAGGTTTTGCCAGCTTTGGCTTCACATCTGCAGAGATGAGAAGAGATTGTCCATGCATTCAGCAGGACACTTGCTAAGCTTTGTACCTTTCTTTGGAACTGAGGAAAGGAAAAAGATGCTGACTCTGCCTACCAGCCATAAGGCCACGTGCCTCATCTCCTTCAGGACTCACATGTTTATACCTTGCTTTCAGAAACAGCCTTTTTGTGCAGACTGTTATGCCTGAGCTGTGGACAAATAAGGACATTTCTGATCAGGAACTCCAAACATTCTTCCATTTCTGGCCCACAGAGTTAAAATCTGTTAAGGGCCAGAGGAAAAACAGCTGCAGAATCACCCTTCTTTCACACCACTCGGCTTTTAACAAGGCAGAAAACCTTGAAAAGCTGGGAACACGTGGACACTGTAGATGTTTGTGCACTGTGGCAGCCACTGTTCCTGCAGTATCAGCACCTTTCCTGCCACTCTTGGGAGTTATTTCTTACTGAAATATTACTCCAATTTGTGTCAGCTTTATTCTGTAAGAGAATGATCTCATGATCATGTTTTCGTGTTCGGCTGACAAACTTGAGACAGTAAAAGATGATATATAAACATTAACATACAATGGTAGCATAGGAACTACCTCCAACCAATCCTGCCAGAATCCAAGTTCCTGACTACACTTTCATTTAGTAAAACTCTATGGTAATAAGGAATTCTAGTGCTGTGTCTGCAACAGGAATTCTGTATTTAAATTGCACACCCTTCAAGATATGTCTGCTGGGACATCATCATAGACAAGAAGCATTAGGAGTGTGAGGGCCTGTTTCTTTAACAGGGAAATAATTGCAAGGGACATGATCAAAGTGCCTTGGTGAACAAAAATGAAGAAATTTGCACTAAATGCTTTGGCATTTTTTTCCTGAAAGGATGTTATTTCAAAGCTTCTATCTTATACTTAAACCTTAAAGAAGAAAATTTAACTGAAACTCACCTGCACAGCCAGTGATTGTATAAACTGTCACTTTTACATCATCTACATGGGTTTAGTTGATCTTTTAGAAGAATCCTGAATGGAGTGAGACAGCCTCAAGACACGAATAGGAGCACTACAAACCTGCAAGCACACACCTCTCTGCTCTGTCAACTCCTCTGTATCAATCAGACAGAAAACTGCAAGAGGATAACTCAGTATTATCAAACTCTAAATGACTGTGTAAATAACTACAGAAAAGATCAAACCTTACTGGAATTACATCTGGTTTTATGGAGCCTTTCACGTGGTAAAAATACTCTTTTGCCAAAGTAATCCTGCCCCCATACTGAATCAGCCTCTGTTGCCAGGGGATGAGTTATTTTTCCATGTCTGCAATGCCTTCAAGCACAAGTAGTGCCACTGAAGTATTTGAGACTGGTCCTTTTCACTTCTGTCTCAAAGGGGGAAGGCTCTCCAAGGAAAGTGCCTATTAAAGATTAAGCATAAGCATGTGCTGCTGTGACTGTACCTCAGAAGATGGGATTGATCTATCCTGGATCTAAATCTGGATATCCCACTAGCTTCAGCAGAGTACAGCTGCAAGGAGCAGACTGTCCCACTGAAAGAGATACAAGATTCATAACCCACTTAATGCATCCTTACTGATACACAGAGCTGAAATTCTGATGAATGAAGCTGATTTTTGGAGTGCTTGAAAGGACGCTGCTAAAATCATTACAAGGTTTTTCCTTTAAAAAGCCTTTTCTTATTGTACAAGTTCTAAAATGTGATGTCCTTCTGGTTCATACCCTTTAAATTTTTTCAGTGTTGACTTAAAACTGTTCTCCCTGTTTCTGATTGTTTTATCAAGAGATTGTCTTAAAGGCAAACAAGGTACAAGAAACTAAAGCTCCAGAAAAGCTACCGTTTTGGAACAAATAATTTAAGGAATTCATAGACTGAAAACATTCGGATAACTCTTGGGGTCTGAGTGCAATTTCTGATACAGCCTGGTAGTGTTGCATGCTTTGCTGGTTAGCTGTGTTAAAATCCTGTTTGGGTAAAGGGATCCATGTCATGTAAAGTTTGGAACCGTTCGTTGAATAAACTGAAACACAATAAACAGATAAGTGCTACAAAAAGGCTTAAATCTCCTCAGACACTGCAGAAGTTACATAACTGCCCTCATTGGGAGGATGTTTGTGTGGGGACAGCAAGAACAGTGAACCACAGCATTCTGTCACCTTCCTTTTTATTGTCTTATCTCTATCCAGCCCCTTGGAGTACAGGGGAGGAATAGTAAGCATCTGCTTGCAAAGCCACATATTCCAAAGAAAATATTCCATTTCAGAAAACTAGTGGCAGGAGACTTCATACAAGTGTAGGATAATAAGGCAGAGCTCAAATCTTTTCCTGCACAGCACCATTTAGTTAAGAAAATCCATGGAATCACTAAGGAATTTCTACTGTATCAAGTATTGCAAAGATTTCTGAAAAGGTACAGCAAAAGTAGGCAGAAGATGCAGATTACAAACAACTCACAGTACAGAGGGGGGGAGTTTATTACAGTGTCTTACAAGAGCTCTTCTTCCTCTCCCTCACTCCTAAGAATTACTGTAGGAAGCTTGGGTTTGAAGGCAACATGAAGTGGAACAGCTTTTTACACTACACTGCTCTCCGTGAGGAGATGAACCCTCTTCCCTGTGCTCTAGTTCTCAATAGGTGCTTCCATATATAGTTTTTCCAGCAGTTTGTCATAAGAGCTCGAGAGGCTGGGGAAGTGCTAAGCCACTCCTGAAACAATCCTCTCTTTCAGCCCTGGCCTTGGGAAAGAGAGCTGTGATCTCCATTCTGGCTTTGTAAGTTCACTCACAAGAGACAGAAAGAGAAAATAAACAGTTTTGAAAGACATAAGCGATTAGTACCAGTTTTCAGACTGAAACATATGGTACCAGCATGTCACAGGGCCTGTCTGATGTCCTGTCTCATCCTAACAGAGCTGGTCTAAGTCAGATCAAATGTCCTTGTGAAAGCTGCAAGATGCCTCTTTATTATGATGCACCTTCAAAGCAGATCCAGTGCTTGGGTCCTTCAGATGTTACAGGAATGCTCGTGTTATGCAAATACTAAACAGTTCTTAAAAAAATATATATATACTTGATGTAACAACTGACAACAGTTAATTTACTACCCATAGGTATTTAAACACAGAAATTTAAACAGCTTTCATTCCTGATCTCCTGGATCAGGACCCTTTCTACAGTTAACACTCTGGTTGTCCAACAGCACCTCCCACTCCACATGAACACAGAAACTCCTAGAGCAACAGGCACAGATGAAAACTTAAAAAAAAAAATAAAAAAATAAGCAAGATGAACAGAAAAAAACATCTCACTTCAAGCAGCTTTATAATGCAGGAGTCTGATTAAAGTGGAAATAGTAAAACAGGCAGCAAGACTGAGATGTGACAGTCATTTTACCTCTGCTCACATGACTGCATCGAAGGCACACCGATGACCTTTGAGCCAGTTCAGAAGCTGTCCTTTTATCTGTGAAAGTTCAAGTCAATTGTGCTTTGAATAAATACTTCTCTGTAGTTACACTTGAACTGCTGCATTATATACCAGAAATACAGAAAGTGTCCATGCACAGCCCTGAAGCACTTGGAGTTTAGCCCTTGCCAGGTGAACTCATGGGTCACAGAGGTCGGAGGCATCACCAGCACACAGAGATGGCAGGCACACTCCCACAGAGACACAGCATCCAGAGAGCCACTGGCCAGACGGAGAACCGGAATGGAAGAAGGATGGAAAGCAAAACTTGCTTGCAGGAGTTCAGCATTCAAGGCTACAACTGCAGAACCCCCACCTATCAAGCTACTGTGGTCCTAGCAGAGGGTCCTGCCAGTTACAAGTTCCCTACTTGAAGTTCACAGCTGGATTCTAACAGGACTCTTCAAGGAATAGTTCAGAGAGCAGCTGAGCTAGTTATTAGTCATTTGCCTTGTTCATTTATGGTTGTCACTGTGTTCATTCCTAAAAATCCCTCCCTTAAACTGTAACAGAAAAAAAAATTAAAAATCCAGTGCTTAAGACAGAGACCAGCAACTGAATTTTGTAAGGCTTTGGGCTGACTCTTGCTTGTAAGAGCACAGCACTGCTTGTAACCAATGGGCTTCCCAGTGCCCTCAGCACTCTCAGTACAACAAAAGCTGTACAGATCACAGCAACCCTGAGGTAATAAAAGTATAAAGGAAGAGATGGAATAAATGTGAGATATGTATGATAATCTCACCACCTAGAAGAGATTCTGAGAAGGACACTCTTGCTAATTACACAACAGGAGCAGCAGTGGAAAAAAAAAATAAGAGTCAGTATATTTGTGTTTTTCCTTTGTTTTACACACACACTCCCCTTAATTGGTATCCATGCAGGCTTCCCTGCAGAACTGTCACTAGTGTTAAAAATCAGATCTTTATAGTCTGTCTTTCTGTCTGTACAAAGTGCAGTTGGAATTGATTTTTATCTCCCAAACTGGTTGCAGAAAGGAAAGTCTTCCTCTCCCTTCCATCTAGGTCACCCCATCCTAGTTCCCCTCCCTCCTAAGAAGTTTGTAAGAGTTAAAAGCCCTACTTAAACATGATCCACTTGAGATTAGTTTTGTCATCTTCTTCCAAAAAAGAAAAACCCGAACCAAAAAAAAAGAAAAAGGCAAAAAAAACCAGAACACACAATCAACACCTCACCCGCCCCAAAAACAATAGTTCCATTTAAAAAAATAAATAAATAGTGTGTATATTTCATGCTGAAAAAAAAAAAAAAAAGTCACAGAAAGGATTCATTTTTGGTTTTCCCTCCCCCGAACACGACACCAGGCATTTCCTCCCCCCTCCCCTGACGTAGACAGGATGGTACATTCGACCGGCAATGTGCATCTGTGTTGGAAATGAGCTTCTACTCCTGCACGGTCCCACATGCATCAGGGAGCAATCCAGCTTAGCTGCTAAAGCAGAGCAAAGGCTTTCAGGTTTTTGGGTATGGTCCCTGCCTGTTCCTTTGGTCCGTCTGTTTAAAGGCTCCTTTGCTGCTCCCAGGTCTCTGCTCTTGTGTGTCTCCGTTAAAACTCTGGTCCCGCCTTCCCACGTCACTGGAGCTTCGTTCCCAGCTTGCGCTGTCTGTTCCTGCAACGACAACACGGGGGGACAGGTGAGACAGGGGACACCACCCCTGTTGGGGATAAAACCAACCAAACCAGCGGGAAAACACAGGAGGATTAAAGGAAGGCCCTGCTGAGCTCCACACAAAACTAAAGCTGCGCCCGACATACCCTACAGGGAGATCAGCCCCTCCCAGTCCTAAACATCCACCCCATCTCCAGTGTACACAGCATTATAAACAACTGCCTGCAAACACCAGAGAGCTGAAATAATGCTTAGATGAAACATTCTTAAGTCCCACACTCCCTAGATTCACCTCTCAGATGCAGCTGTTAACCCACAACTTGGTATTTTTCTTTACTCTGTGCTATTCTACCCACGGCAGTGGCTACGTATCAGAAAATTAATTAATAACTGCATCTAATGAGTCAAACCAGCAACAGCTCCTCCATCCCCCGACAAAACTCACCTTGCTTCTGCTCTTGTGACTGTGTACTCAAACCACAGGATGTTGGGAATGAGGCTGGTGTCTCGGATTAAAAAGAACTCTGAAATTGGCCTGAAAACAGAGAAGGTGGGGGAAAGGGGGAAATAATTAGACTTTCTCCACCATGATTTTGATTTAACAAAAAAACAACCAAAACAAAAAGAAAAAGGCACAAAATATGCTCCAGAATTAACAGTACTATCCTATCACTTCAGGCTGGGAAAAAGATTCTTCATTACATTTAATCAAAAGCTCTTTTCTTTCCTTATACAATATTTCCAGACTATATCACATGTAAATGGCTTTGCAATTTTACTAGGTCATTAGACATTCATTAAGAAAGGTCTGTTCTGCTTGCAAAGCTCCTCCAGCACTCTGCCACACCTCTCAGCTTTAGCAGGGCTTTACAAACGTAGCAGTTGATTAAATTCCCTCTCTTCCCCACCCTTAAATCGAGGACATATGATCCTTTGTATAAGCATGCACAAGAAAACATGGAGGAACAAGTAGGTTACACAACAGTCAGTATGCAAAACTGGGACAGAGCCCAGGAATTCTCATTTCTAACATCTGTAACAAGCCTGCACAGAATAAAGAGCCTTACCATGCAGCTATCCTCGGGAAGAGAGGAGTTAGGATCTCTTGTGTGAAGGCAAACCAGGCTATGGCCATAATGCTTCCTGCCACACCTCCATATAGGACTTGGCTCCAGGTGTGGTAAAGCAAATAAACCCTGCAGTGGAAGAAAAGAGTCACCAGACAGGCTTTAAAACAAGAGGAGGCAAGGCTCGAGAGCTGAGGTTCCACTGGACTCGCAGATGCTGTGAGTAAATTATCCTGCAGATGTTAAAAGTGGGTATCTTTTTTCAAAAAAAGCTGGCAAAAATACTGGGGGGAAAAAAACTGGGAAAAACTCTTCCCTGCTACAGCAGTTTCAGCTTAGAGCACATCTACTTTGAGCTTAACTCAATAACACTCCACATTCTTCTTCATCTATCCTGATCAGGTGAGGAACTGTTACTGTTGGTTCCTCCCCAGGAGACTTCCAAAGCCAGTAACAAGGTAAGTCCCCTCCAAGCCACCAAAACTGGGGCTTGAAGGCTTTTAAGAACATGGACAGCATTTTTGCTGTGATTTTGGTGCTCTCCAACGTAACAGGCACGAAGGCTGCACAGCTCACTGGGACTGCAGCCATCCAGAAAGCTGCACTGTTTGCCTGTTATCTGTGTGCACAAGCTACATTCAAAATTCTTTTCACCCATATATCATAAAGCCATTATGATCATCTTATCTGACCCTCTGCCTAGCACAGGCCACTTGATTTCCTCCGATTTTTTTTTTTAATTAGACTACATACCTGTTATGAATTTAAAATAATCAGTAATAAGGAATCAGCTGTAGTGTACAGTCAACTGTGCCAACAGGTAATTACTTTCCTGTGAAAGACATGGCCCTATTTCTAGCTTGAATTTATCTGTTTTCCAATCACTGGAGCTCACTTGATATTTGTGGTGTGTGCATACAATTGTTTTTTTAAATCCACTAAAGGGGGGAAAAAAAACATGATCAAATTTTGTTTTCTTTATTCATCTTAATACAAATCTTGCAAGTCAAACAGCTATAAATGTTTTGATTAACTAATGCTCAAGCAAAACAATCAGATTGATCAACTGTAGCGATCCATGTGCTGCAGAGGCTGCTGTGCCAAGGCATGGGGCAATGATTCCACGATTAGTGCTGGAAAGAGGGTGAGGCAGTGAGGCTGGAGCATGGGAATGGAGCCCATAGGGAATTGGTACAAGCTCAGCTGATTTGGGGGTTTATAAATGCTTCTGTGAAGCACCACACATGCAGCACCTTTGCTTATTGGAAGGGTCTCGTGGAAAGCAACTTCCATAAAGCTCCGACTTGTACAGTGCAGTCGAGAATCAGGTCAGAAAAGCAGGATAAGGAATGACAGGGCTGTGACAAGCCACGGGACTGTGTGAGAGCATAAGACAAACAGTTGCTCCATACCTACTATATGAGACTAGCAAAGCCACTGTGACGAGGCAGATGGACAGCACATGTCGCCATAGTAAATCCAGAAACCTCGCATTGTTTGTTTGGTGCATTCTGAAAGAGATGGAGAGCCATTAGCACAGGGCAGGGAGCTGGGCAGGCCTTACCTCTGTCCTCACTCCCTTGGGGACCCTAGGAAAGTCCTACTCCAGTGGGGCCATGGGTAGCTCGACCCCATCCCAGCAGCAACCTGTCCCATGGCAGCAGTTACAGAGCAGCCAGAGAGCCACTCGTGTGTCTCTCCAGCTGTCAACAGGGATTGCTGTGGTGGAAGGCAGAATGCTCACAGTTACTGCAGCTGGTGTGAGAGGCACATGCTGAGCATATGCAACAGGGAGCCAAGACATCAGAGTCCCTCCATCACCCACACAGCCAGGAGGGACTGTGAGTTTTGTCTTCCTCCACACGTGGAGCCACAAGGCAGAGCCATGCCCCAGCAGGAACCTCAGGAAAGCACAGCCCAGCATGTAAACCCAGTCCTTGGAAATGGAGGTGAACTAAAAGGTCATGCAAGTGGGCAACAGATATTACCTAAAAGATTGCAGATGACCCCACTGACAAACTGAGTAGACACATGAGAAAGCAGCTCTTCTTTCCTCCTCCCTATTCTCCCCCTCTTCCCTCACACTGGGGGATCATCATAGCTTAGAAAAAGAAAACTGGGAGACCTGTACCCCAACAGGTAAAAGGAGGCCCACCCACACCCTCCAGTTTTCAGCCTTGATAACTCCAGCCCTACATTCAGATGGGGACAGACATGCTCCATCCACCCAGGCCACAGTAAATTGTGCAGGGCCTCAGATTTGATTCCTTTATCCCACTCAAGTGGCACCCAGCAAGGGAGACACATATTTCAGGTGTTTCAACATATTAACAGCCAAAACCTGACTTGGAATTTTTACCTTAAATAAAGGAACAGAAAGGAATAGACAGAGAAAAACCACATGAATTGGGAGTGGCTGGACGGCATCCCATATTTTGTGGTCACTGTTGAATGGGCTTCTGGGAAGAGAAGAAGAAAGAGTGTGGTCAAGGTCTACTCTGTACCCAGCAGCTGGAACACTCCAGATGCGAAGCCAGAACACTCTGCTGGAACATGTGCACATAGTTCACAGGACACATCCCTGCTCAGATGGCTCTACCAGCCTTCCTACATCCAAACATACAAAACCAACATGAGGCAAAGGGGAAAATACCCTCCAACCCCTCACAGTCAGCATTCCACTCAGAACTCCACTGACACCACGACACCCACGGTCCATTCCCTACCTTCACACGGCCGAGGCTCCCGGATTACATTTTTTATTAACCAGTTCACTCCCTCGTTGAACACCAGCCCTCCCAAGAAAGAGATCTGTGAAGGCAAGACAGCTCTGTCACCCCCTCTAAAAGACCCTTCCACTTACCAGGCTCTCTCTGTTGACAAAACCCCAAACATTATGTTTCTAATTTTCTTTTTTGACTACTAGAGTTAAAACAGCTTCCAAATTCACTATGTGAGGAAGGAAAGCACTTATTTTTCAGCTCACTTTGTGTATTTGGCAACACTTTGTGTATATGCAGCTTTTCAGCAGATGACACAGAATGAGACACAAATGACACTGTACAGCACTTCTGCCAGGACATTTCCACCAGCAAGTGTAGAAAGTGGCATTTTTTTAACAGGGCAGGTTTTTGGGGATTGGCTTTTCCGGATGACCAACAGGGGGAGTGCAGACACTGTTATTTGGGTAAATAGCTTAAAATAAAGGTGACTTTTTAGGCTTTCTGTCTTTTCCCTCTATGCCTATTTTCATCTTGAAGTTGCTGTCTTCAGTTTGAAATGGATTCACATTCTGAGCTAAGCCAGGCTGGTAGCATTTATTTTTACTCTTTAATTCCACAGCCCATACACCTTCCCTAAATTAGTCCTGCTGCTGTGATCAGATTCCCAGCTGGTGATGACACTCTGCCTCCTTAACACTCAGTCCCATTCCAGATGACAAAGGAATTTTTCACTCCATATCCTGAGCCCTGGGTCAGGCAGTGTCTCTCTCCAGCTCAATGGTGACTTCCCACACGAAGAACCAGGAATCAACCTCCACAATTGTCTCCTTACCAACACCTAACAAGTCCCTGTATAAACCCATAAATCTGTTCAAGAGTTACTCCAGCTCATTCTCTCTTTTGGGTCAACAAGAGACTCTTAGGTTGCCAAAACTTAACAGCTGCCTTTCCTAGTTAGAAGGCCCATTCCCAGGTCCCTCAAGCCACTGGTTCCCATGACACCGTGGCCCTGTATTAGAAATCTGCTGTCAAAACCCTTTCAGTGGCCCCTATTTTATCTGTTTACTGAGGGTAAATGTTACAAGAGGTTTATACAGAATTTATCCATGACACTGATTCCCAACTACCTTTCAGAGCAGACAGAAAGCATTACATGTTACAAGAATTCGGACAGAAGAAAGCCTCTTCAGTCCCTGGTATTCAATTCACAGTTGAGAAGCAGCCCTTAAAGACAGATCCACTCCCCTGGGAATCTGTAGGTTTTATTTTGTATCCCCTTTTCCATCTCAGTAGTTCTAAGAAAGTACATCCTCCTGAGTTACACACACCATTTCCCAAATATGCTGCCCAGCTTGCAGGAACCTACTAAGTGCTATGATCCTACTGGATCTTGGGAGTGTTCCCACTCTGCAAACAGCATTCTTTACTTCCTCAGACATCTCCCTCGATGGTTTTGGACAGATCATGTACAAAACACACCACAGAGCAACAGAGAAATCAGCAAAGGCTGAGCAGCCTTTTAACCTGGTACTGGTGCTAAGTGTCTCCTGCTGTTCTGTGACAGGAAGATGCCTTACCTAGGCTTGCACTTTAAAGAGAGAAAAACAAGTGTGAACACAGCAGCACCAGGTGACAAAGGAAGAGGCTTTAGTCATAAGGAGAGGCTGGGAAGGGAGAGAAGGACTCACCGTGTGAAGCTCTCTCTTGAATATGATGAGTGTTACAAAGCCAACAATAATGAATATTGGACCAAGACTCAAATAAGCTAAAAGCTGACCAGAGAAATCACCTGGGGAAACAAACAAGAGACACAAATCAGTTTGAACTTCACAGGTAACTTGCCTGCCACCAGAGCATGGCCCAGCTGGAGCCCTGGATCACTGGGAGCAGAGGGGCAAACCTGGGTTGCAGAGTGACCCGGAGGAGCCAAGGCAAGGAGACAGCAGTGCTCACATGCAGGCTCAAAATCAGGGATGAGAGGAGCCTGGCATCCTTCAGCAGAGTTTGCTGCCACCCAATTTACAACAGTGACCACAGGTGTGGGCCCAGAGGCACTTCAACATAAGCACAAGCTGCTGCAAAAGAGGCAGCATCTTTCCCTCCCCCTCATTCATTTTGCCTCCCTATGCCAGCAATTACCAGCAAACACTCCCCAAACAAATCCTTTCCCATTCCCTTACTAAAATGGGTTCATTTTCAGCTGGATCAGCTTCCTAATCTGTCTCACCATGTGTCTGCACGAACACTAGCATTAGCAAAATGGGGAGGAAATAAATAGCTAAACAGAGCAGGAGATAACAGGGAAATAAAGGAGACTCTGCCTTTTTAACCAGTAGCCCCCTTGTATGACACAGAAGGGGCTTTGAGCCTCCAAACCAAATAACTAATGGTCTAGTTGTCCCCGAGGGAGAATCAGGGAGCAGCAGTGAGACCTTGCAAGAGGTCATAAGATCCCTCAAAAACTTTATCCTGAACGATCCCAGACACAGAAGTGGGCAGCAACAGTAAAGAGCAGCTGTGTGTTTAGATCCATGTTTCTCTTGCCTCTCTTCCCAGAAAAGGGACACACACAGAAGCATTTTGAGAGAAGATGGCAGCGTGAATTCCAGGGAAACACAAGAATCAGCAATTCATATCAGAAGAGTGAGAACTGTCTACCTGAGAATCTTTAAAGATAGAAGTCACCACAAACCCACTGTATGAACCCAGAGAGCAACTAAAGACATGGGTACTTTGTGTACTGGTTCTGAGACCAGATCCTCTCCATCCCATCACTAAACACAAAAAGATCAGCCTCCACACAAATTTATCCTTCCTCTCTCCTCTCTAAAGGAAACAGGATGCCTCTGCAAGGCTGAGCATTGGACTCATTCCTAGATCAATTCCACTGCAAGATACTGAGTCTCCCCAGCCCACGCACCCACATTTTAAAGCAGCACTTGGTAGAAAGGACTTTAACCTCAGCCTCTCAGTGCTGGGACTGATAAAGAAGTTATTGCCCTGCTACAACAAAGTTCATGCTGCTGATGTTATTGCCACATAGCTGTGGCTACACCAGGTACAGTGCACGGAAGCCTCTGGAATCCCAGACTCTAGGTTAGATTTGGGAACCAGCAACAGCATCAGCAAGGATTACTAGCAGGAGTGTTAGTCTGCACCAGTGAAATTGGGAAGACTTGGAGGACAAAATACCCAAGCACACTGAGCTTTCACTGAAGTGAGGTTCTATTTTGGTTTTAACCTCAGAAGCATCGGAAGACTCTGAATTTGAAACTTTTCCTGCACCATATGGCAGGTTTGCCTCACATCAGGTGGGTTCCAAATGCTTCCAAAGCAGAACAGCAACGGATTTGTGGCAGCACAAAGAGGATGCGACAGGATCAGTTACCTGGCAATTGAAAATCAAGCCCCTTATGGTTTTACATAAATCAGAAACTCTCAACAAAATGAATCCCATCTTCAAGGAATTCATGAGACAAAGCACCAGACAATCAAACTACCCCAGAAGCCTTAGGAATACTTTCCAATAGTCTCACTTTCAGCATTACCAACTGAAGAGAGCTCATCATCAAGGAATCACCACATTTCAGATCATTCACTCTGTTAACCCACAGTACATAAAAACTCAGCACTTCCAGACTAGAAGCTGTAATTTTGTCAAGTAGAAACCAAGTTAAAATTATTTATCTTGGGGGATTCTATTTCTTGTGCAGATGGTGGAGGGATACTTAAGCAAGTAGTCTTTTAATTTAAATAGGACCAGCAGTACCAAATTCATGATCCTCTGTTATGTCACGTGATAACATTCCCAATGAATCAAACCACCCAGACTGCACAACTCCCATTGATTCTGAACACCTGCCTCTCCAACTCTGCCTGGAAACACCCTGGACAACTGGGAAAACAGGAAAATTTCCTGTCATTCTGCAGAGAAAAGGTCTGGCCAGGTTTCTCTCCTTAAATTTGTCCCGTGTGAGAAGAGATCCAGAAAGTCCCAGAGTGCAGAACCAGAAACCATCACTCCCAGATGTTGCCTGCAAGCACCAAGTCCTTTATCAATCTTAACACAAAAGCTCCTCAAACATTTCAGGTGTCCATTTAGAGCGGAACAGACAGCATTAATCATACTTCATATTACTGTAGCTAACAGCAATTAAACAGGCACATCCTGAAGCCACTTTTTCTAGGGGAGGAGGCAGATAAATAGCTGAGCACTATCTGAAGGAGCTACACCAGCAGCCCACAAATGCCTGGCTGGATCAGCAGCTCCAGGCAGAGCTGCATTAACTAAACCAGCTCCGAAATGAGTGGAAATCCCCAGTGAAGGAGGCAGAGTGAGCTCTGAGAGCAAGGCCAGCGCTGATCACCGCACAGAGCTCCGGGGGCCTCCCAGCCTGATTACTGATGTCACTCCCATCTCCTCTCACGCTCCAGTGCGCTCCCAGACTTATTCCCAGGGAAAGGAGACGTGCAGGAGAGCCACGGTTTGAAGTCCAGTAAGATCTAGCAAGCAGAACTCCCCCCCTCTTTTTTTATAAAGATTAATTTTCCTTTATTTTACTAAGCTTGGGAATTTTAAAGCAATTCCTCCAACCGGTAAGAACAGAGACAAAACCTCTGCAAAAATGCAAAAGGAGAATCTATTTAATGTATACCTTGAGGTTTGTTTAGTTTTAAATTCTGCTTTTTTTACAGTCCAGCCTTCCCTGGACATCCTTGGGAGCTCCAAAAGCAAAAATACAGAAGGCAATAGCTCATTTTTGGGCAGCCAAGAGATAAATACGTGCAGCACTATACATAGCTCAGACACACAAGGCTATTTTTTTCAGCCTTCATTCAGCATCTACTTCTGCTCCAATTCAACATTTTACCCAGCATTCTTTCGGTGGAAATATCCGAGCTCCACCACATCAGCCTAACCTGTATAGGATGTAAAAATGTGAATCAACAGCCCCCAAACCACATCCTACCACAAGATTGAGCTTTGCCACCACCACTTCCTATTGAAGCATCTATTTGTGGCCCTGCTGCTGGTCGTGTGTTCTTGGCCAAGTGCATGTGTGCAAGTTGCACAGACAACACCCGGTGTATGTGTGTCATGGGCATTTACATCACTAAATATTCGTGCTCTAAGAGAGCCATTTCCTCAGCTTGCACACGTGGGACAGCAGAAATATCTTCAGGAGGCTTCAAATTATGGCATAAAGGCAGGAATCAGACACAACTTCTGCAGGGAGATTAAACATAAACCTCTGCATTAAAGCAGCCAAACAAGAGAGGGATCTGCTTCTTCCAACAGATACTGCTCAGCTATGGAATGAGCCCTGACTTGTGAGCTCCCACCCTGCACAGAATCACAGGAGGGTTATCAGAACAAACATTCCTATAGGAACAGCACGTGCTGACGCTGAACAGCAACACAAACTGCTGAGCCAAAGCACCCACACAGCCCCAGCACCTTTGCTCTGATGCACCTCTTCACCTCTGCACACCAGCCCCTCCAGCTCTGCCTGGCTGTAGGAAATAACTTGGGCAACTGGGAAAACGGGAAGATTCCCTGTCATTCTGCAGATAAAAGGTCTGATCAGGTTTGTCTCCTTAAAGAATTTGTCCACTGTGAGAAGAGGAGGTCCAGAAAGTCCCAGAGCTTTAAGAATCCCAGCTGCACTGAAGAGAGGAAGTTTTTTTCTTTTCTCCAAATAGTAATTAAAAAACCCAAACAAACCAGGAACTCAATGTTTCTCCAGTGAAACTCACCCTACAGACAGGAAGTTCCTGAAGATGAGTTTTAAGCCTGCAGCACAAAGTCATCCCATGCAAAGCAATGAATACGGGAAAAAACAACCCTAATTATACACATGACATGACAGGATTTAGTTCAGTTGTTATCAAACAAAATCCCTCAGACTCAGTGTGAGCCAATACCTTCAGAGTAGCATCCAGTGCTCTGCAGCAGTGAAAAAGGCAAGAAGAACATCTTTAAGAGCAAAACAGAAGTTACTGTTACAGCACTACAAAAATTTATTATGCAATTCTGGTGTCACAGCTAAAAAGGGAGAGCACACACAGGGAAGGCAAATTGAAAGAGGACAAAGATAAGTATGTGACAGCAGCCATTCAGAAAACATCAAATAACTCAGATTTTCAGCTTGAAAAGGAAAGCAGAGAATGTAACAGTTCCATAAAGTCATGAATTATATGGAGAAATGGACAGCAAACAATTGTTACCTCTCACTGCACATGAGAAGGAGAGCGTTTGATGGAATTACTGAGAAGTGAACTTAGAAAAGAAACAATAACCACATTAAGCTGCAAAGCTCAGTGCCAAAGATACTGTGAGATCCAAAGCGGAAATGGATTCAAGGAGCAATTAGACATACAGCTTTTATACATCCATCAAAGGACTTAACAGTCCTGATGCAATCACCAGCTCATTACTGGAAGGACATACAGAAGAAGGATTGTTCCTGCCTACCTGCCAGCAACCCAGCACTGCCAGATCATCCCTTGGTCTCACCAAAGTACAATTGCTGATAAGAAAAGCTTCAGGATCAAAAAATTCTGAAAGCAGCACCAGGCTGACATTTTTCCAGGCTGTCCTCTGCAGCAGCATGCTTTAGCACACTCAAGCAGCACTGCCATGGCTGGTTTCTTGTCCCTGTGTTTGATCCTGACATTCCCTAAGGGCAGTATTTCAGCTCTCCAAGATCCCATTCCTCAGACCAGTGTGCAGTTGATTACCACAACGTTCATCCGTTGTTCCTCATTTATTTTGCTCAAAGTGGACATCACAGAAAGCCCTGGAGAGCTGTGCAGCCACACAAGCAGTAAGGATGGGTTTGGTGTATCACTACTGATAAGGAAACACTAGATCAGGACAGGGAGGATCAGCACCCTTCTGGAGACACCTCTCCCCTTCACATTTACAAGAAGTAGCCCAAAACCAGGTTTTGTGTGGCAGGCACAAATCAGCAGTGACAGCTTTTTACCTGCTCACAGCGAGCGGGACTGTCACTCGTGGCAGATGAAAGCCGGGGTGGCAGCAGTTCTGTGCTGGAAGTCTTTAAAGACCTGAGATTTTAAGAGCTGGTTGCCACAGAGGCTCAGCAGCCTCAGGATCAGCCAAGAGCCAAAGCTTTTTGCCACACAGCAGTGCATGACATGCCAAGACAGCTTAATAATTTATGTTGGTAAAAGCAGGATCTATTTCTCGTTCTGACCCTCTCAGCAGCACGAGGCCACATTAACTCCACAGTGCTGAGCACGCTGCCAACATCATTATTTTATAAATATACATTATCTAGAAGCTTTATGGACCTGGACTTAAGCTGTACACAGGCAGAACGTAAACAGCTTTCTAAATAAAGTCAGAGCACTTTCCCCAAATCCAGGTAAAAGCATCAGACCTACCACCTTACTGCAAGTCATTTTTTCAGACCACAATGTAGTCTACCCAGACTTTAGTAAAGCCTTTGAAGCCATTTCCCACAGCATTCTCCTGCAGAACATCCATGGCTTGGGTGGTGCACTGTTCAGTGGGTAAAAAACTGGTTGATGGCTGGGCCCAGAGTGGTGGGGAATGGAGATAAATCCAGCAACACCTCTAAAACTAGGGGTGTTCCCCAGGGCTCAGGTTCTGTTTAATATCTTTATTAATGATCTGGATGAGGGGATGGAGAGCACTCTCAGGCAGTTCACAGATGACATCAAGTTGGGCAGGAATTTTGATCTGCTGGAGGGCAAGAAGGCTCTGCAGAGGGATCTGGA